AATACGAAAATTATTAGTTCATTTTTCATCCGGCGAAAATGAAAGCCAATGGTCGTTGGAGGATTCCACAACTCAAGCAATGCGGCGGAGAAACGTTTAAGATTTCAGTTTAGGCCCGTGACTGTTCCGAGATTCAATGAATTTAACCCAACGGAACTTCTCCGTCGTCTTCGCTCCCTTCCTCCGAGATCGCACTCCACTTGCTCAGTACTCGACTCCACAAAAGTGTCAAGATAATTCCACTACGGCTCATCTAGACGAGATGTGCAACCTTTCCTATCGTTGCTGGTACACTCATCGTGATCAATATGCTTTGTTTCGGTGCAATGTATGCAGCCACCGCCACTGAAGATGGACATCCTTGGTATGCCCAGAAACCGTCCAACTTTAACCTAATTCTAACTTTCTGCAGAACAATTGCCGGGGAGAACGCTTTTCCCGGGCTGAGAAGGAGCTCGTTTCGCTTAATCTTGTCGTCCAGTGGCCACACAGACCCCCATGGGGAATACATTTGGTAAAGAATCTTTCCCGGCGAAGTTCTTTCCCCAGCCACCGATGACATCTAGCCAATAACTATTGGCCGTTATTTCACCCAGATGGTCCATGTAATGCTTGGGGGAAGCCTGGGGTTTCCCCCCTTACTAGCTCTATCTAGTCTGGGGTCTCCTTTCCTCGAGAACACTAAGTAACTAAGGTCGTTTATAGTTCTTGGGTTCCTTGGCTTCCCCACAAATGCTCGCCAGCATTGCCGTCTTAGTCCCACATCCACTTGAGCGGAATCGGAGCGGCGTGCCAACAACAATGGCAGAGATTTCATTGCGACTGGTAGAGTCATTTTGGCTTGGCTCACTCGTAGTGCAACAAAGTTTAACAGCGTCTGGGCAAGATGATACGAGGAGAAAGAAAAAACCCTCCTCCACGTGCCTACTAGGAGATTAGATTCGTTTTGCCGCCGATAACTTAACAGACTGTGGAAAAACAATCCATCTCCGCAACCCCAGGCTGTTTTCAGCTCGCACCCCCGGATTTTCGTTCCATGTTCCATAAACAAGGGTGTTGTCGTTTAGCGTGGGCATAGATTATAAGTATTTAGACCCCTGACGCGCGGCACCTCTTTTTCATCTTTCTCATAATACTTACCTTCCAATCTCACTCATTTCTCACACGCACTCTCAATCCCTGTGAATCTGACTTGGGTTGTTGAAGAAGCTCTGATCATCTCATCAAGAGTGACCACACTGTCACCATGTCTATCCTCTCTCTAGTCGAGGATAGACCCACTCCCAAGGAGGTGTATAACTGGAAGATATACCTCCTCGCAGTTGTCGCCTCATGCACGTCTTGTATGATCGGGTATGATAGTGCCTTCATTGGTACGACTATCTCTCTCCAATCATTCAAGGATGAGTTTGATTGGGACTCCATGTCTGCCGCGAACCAAGATCTAGTGAGCGCCAACATTGTCTCTCTCTACCAGGCAGGTGCATTCTTTGGTGCATTCTTCGCCTATCCCATCGGTCATTTTTGGGGCCGAAAATGGGGTCTGATGGTCTCTGCCGTTATATTCACTTTGGGTGCTGGCATAATGCTTGGTACTAATGGCGACCGTGGATTTGGCTTACTTTATGGAGGACGAGTACTTGCTGGCTTGGGAGTGGGAGCTGGCTCGAATATCACTCCTATTTATATCTCCGAGTTATCTCCACCGGCGATCAGAGGACGGTTGGTTGGAGTTTACGAATTGGGGTGGCAAATTGGTGGGCTTGTAGGATTTTGGATCTGTGTAAGTGCTTCCTATTTGTTATATTTCCTACAAACTATCGGCACAGCTAACCTTATCTGGTAGTATGGCGTTGATGAGACGTTAGCCCCGAGCCATAAGCAGTGGATCATCCCATTCGCCGTCCAGCTGATACCATCTGGCCTCCTTATTATTGGTGCCCTTTTTTTGAAAGAGTCTCCGCGTTGGCTATTCCTGCGGGGGCGTCGAGAGGAGGCAATCAAAAACCTCTGTTGGATTCGTCAACTCCCAGAAGACCATATCTACATGATTGAGGAAATCGGTGCTATTGACCAGACCCTAGAACACCAGCGTGCAACTATTGGCCTGGGCTTCTGGAAGCCGTTCGTTGCGGCTTGGACGAACAAGAAGATACTGTATCGTCTCTTCCTTGGTAGCATGCTGTTCTTTTGGCAGAATGGTTCGGGTATCAACGCCATCAACTACTACAGTCCTACCGTTTTCAAAAGTATTGGTGTCACAGGTTCGAACACAAGCTTGTTCACCACGGGCATCTTTGGTGTCGTGAAGACCGTGGTGACATTTGTCTGGCTTCTTTGGCTGATTGATCATGTGGGACGGCGTCTGCTCCTGCTTATCGGTGCCGCCGGTGGCTCAATCTGTTTGTGGATCGTCGGGGCGTATATCAAAGTCGCCAGGCCCTCAGAACGAGAGAATAAGCAGATGGATGGCGGTGGCATTGCTGCTATGTTCTTCTTTTACCTGTGGACTGTGTTTTATACCCCTTCCTGGAACGGTACCCCATGGGTTATTAACTCGGTAAGCTTGTTCTCCGTCTTCTGCGAATGTCATATTAGTAAACTTTCCTCTAATAACTTCGTCATTTAGGAAATGTTCGATCCCAACATTCGTTCGCTTGCGCAAGCCTGTGCGGCAGGGTCCAACTGGCTCTGGAACTTCCTCATCTCCCGATTCACTCCACAGATGTTTGCCAAGATGGACTACGGAGTGTACTTCTTTTTCGCGTCTCTCATGATCCTATCCATCATCTTTGTGTTCTTCCTGATTCCAGAGACGAAAGGTATCCCACTAGAGAGCATGGACAGACTTTTTGAGACTCAGCCGGTTTGGCGTGCTCACGGGGCTCTCCTCAAACAAATTCGCGAAGACGAGGAACGGTTTCGTCATGACTTGGAGGATTCCGGCTTTGTGAAGAGTACTGATAAGCAAGTGGAGGTCGTGGATGCGTGATGTTGATTTTTGATCCTGAATGTTGCATTGCTGTGTCTTGTGTGATATTATGAACTCCAACAGCTGGGCATGATGATGCCACAAGCTGTATGATGGCCCACATCCCAGAAGCAAATGAGCTCTGTTGGCAACCCTGTGATAATCATTTATTATATAAACCTAGCTATACCCTACCTGGACGTGCTTTCTTTCTCTCTTTCTGTCTGTCCCTTTCCTTCAGACCGTTTCGACTCCATGACCTTGTATCACTCATCAATTAGCGGTTTCCTTCAAGAATGGTCTGGTCTAGTTCAATTGTCTGTCCGGTTTCCAGTGCCTTTTGTACAGCCTGGCACACAAGTAAGGCCCTGAGGCCTTCTTCACCGGAGCAACTAGGCTCGGCTTTGCCTTGAATGACATCGACGAAATGGGCAAGCTGCAAATCGAAAGGAGTCGCTTCTTCCACGTCAAACTTCTCGACCGTCAATGGTTGGTTCCAGCTCTTGTCCGGGCGGCTATCGTAACTCCAGCGCGTCATATCTGGGACACTGAGGGAGGCATCAGAACCAAAGATGCGGTAAAAGTCTGCGCCAGAAGAACACTTGGGAATGAGTGGATTTTCGCCGGTCCCGGCTTCAAAGTTATGTGGAGAGGGTGTAGCATCGCAGACAAGGAATGTACCGACAACGCCTGAAGCGAACCGAAGCGTCAGTGCCGCGCCCTCCTCTGCCTCATGAGGAGGGTTAGGACGTTGCGGGAGGGTCTTCTCGGCGTGAACGCGCACAATGGGGCCGAACAGGTAATGCATAATGTCAATATCATGCACAAGGTTAATTGGAACCACACCACCCGATGACCGAGCACGACGCCAGTCACCTGGAGGCGCAAAGTATTGTTCTGGTTTGAACAATGTCCACAGGCCGTTGATGGCGATAATCCGGCCCAGAGATCCGGCATCCACCATCTGCTTTGTCTTAAGGACGTACGGGTTGAAGCGACGGTGGTGTCCTACCAGCAGCTTGAGTTGGGCGTTCTCTGGCCGCTGCGAAAATTGTAGCAGTGCTAGGCCATTGTCGATGCTGTCACTGACTGGTTTCTCGACCAGGACGTGGACACCACTGGCTAGAAGCTCTCGCGACACGGGGACGTGGGTGTGGTTGGGCGTGCAAACGATGGCTGCATCGGGCTTGGGAATGGCCTGCAGCATGGCTTCGACAGTTGGATAGTAGCTCGTTTGTAGCTCCTGCGCTACCCTGGCGGCATTGGGAAGCGGATCGATGAGCGCTACGAGCTCTGTATCTGGATTGGAGATCACGGATTTGGCATGTCGAGGGCCAATAAGCCCTGCGCCGATGATGACAACTCTTAGGACCATTTTGGTGGTGCTGTTGGAATCACTGGGGAGGTGTATTGGTGTCAAGAAGCAAATAGGGGGAAGAGAAAATGAGTGTATATGATATTGTTTTGTTGGACAGAAGATCATCTACAAATTGGACCACACCACGCGATTTCGGGATAAATTCAGGGCCAAGCGAAGCTTCATTGCCGAGGAAAAGCCTCAACCTACTCATCGCAATTGGTTTGGGGGTGCGCAGCTCACAGCCGGTTAAATGCGGCAGGGAAAGCGCTTAGCCGGCGGTTCTTCTCTTAGTGTCTCCTGTGGTGGAACCTCCAGCCCTAATGCATTGGGAGAGTTATCATCCATAATACAAACACAAGAATAGCCTTGTGAATCGTTCTTCCAGGGTAGAGCGGGATAAAATGTATTTATTAATAACACAAAGACCAGCACGGACAGCGATGCCAAGTGTGCTATAGAATTACCAGTGATTAAAACCTACGTCAACTGAACACAAGACATGACGCGGCAGCTCGCGTATCTTTAACAGTTTCATACTTTGTTATCACCTCCCAAGTGAATCGTGATCACAGCCATATCCTTCTCTTATAACTACCCTACCACTTCCTCTTCATCTACTGCTTCCTACTTTCTCCACATTGCCCGTTATTATAGCAACTGCTTTTCACAATGCCTAACCGTCTCGGAATCGGTTCCATGTCCCTAGGGCGCCCGGGGATCCATGATCTGCCAACCAAGCTGCACCAGGCCTCCCAGTTCGGCTACAAGGGCATCGAGCTATTCTTTGACGATCTTGACCACTTAGCCAAGTTGCTCTTTGATGGTGATCATATTTTAGCTGCTCAACATATACGCCAGCTTTGTGTTTCGCTGGACCTCTCTATCATCTGTCTGCAGCCTTTTTGGCACTACGAGGGACTTCTGGACCGCACTGAGCACAAGCATCTTCTCACCGAGAAGCTTCCCAAGTGGTTTGAGCTTGCACGCATTCTGGGCACAGATCTCATCCAGATCCCATCTAACTTCCTCCCCGCGGATGCTCAGACAGGCCAGCCCCGCACCACAGGTGATATGTCTGTCATTGTCTCAGATCTTCAGAAGATCGCCGATCTTGGTCTTCAGCAGTCCCCCCCTTTTCGTTTTGTCTACGAAGCCCTAGCATGGGGAAACCACATCAACAAATGGGAAGACTCCTGGGAGGTTGTAGAGCGGGTCAACCGTCCAAACTTTGGAGTTTGTCTTGACACCTTCAATATCGCAGGACGGGTGTATGCCGATCCCACATCTCCCACAGGAAAGACACCTAATGCGGATGCCGATCTCCAAGCATCTATAGCCCGCCTGCGATCTCGTATCGACCTCTCAAAGGTTTTCTATGTTCAAATCGTGGATGGCGAACGCCTGAGTGCCCCTTTGGACGAATCTCACCCCTTTTATGTCAAGGGTAACCCCGCCCGCATGAACTGGTCGCGTAACGCACGTCTGTTTGCCTTTGAAGAGGACCGTGGTGGATACTTACCCGTCTTGGACGTCGCTAAAGCCTTCTTCGATATCGGCTTCGAGGGCTGGGTTTCCCTGGAATTGTTCAACAGAAGCCTGGCTGATCCTGATCCATCTACGCCTCGCAATCACGCCAAAAGAGGTTTTGAGTCGTGGAAGAAACTAGTCGCTGCCTTGAAACTGAATACTGGTGATGCTTCCTCGGTGTATGGTCTTGACGGTACAGTTTCACCATCGACTTCCGCTTTGCCTGTGCAGCATCGCCTTTAGCGCCGCTTCCGGCTTCTTTACGTTTTCTTTTCCTTCCACTTCGGGCGTTGGTTTTTAACGGGTTTAATGGTTTGGCATATCTGCCCTCTCATGGCATCTTCACAGCGTATGTCCTCTAGTCTTGTTTCTTCCTGGCCTTATGGCTTGTTATGATTGTACAATATGATGGAAATACCCGAATGGAAACAGCCACCAGGCTTACTGTCAATAATTGCTCAGATTGATAAATACTCTTCTGGTAAACGTGGGAGAACATAATCCTCAGCTTCAGCAGTAATATCTTACCTAGGAAGATTGATTAGATTCAACAGGACTTGCTTGTGCCTGTCTAGTTTTACTTCAGTCTCGCTGGTCAGCTTGTCTGCTGGTCACGAGATGATTAACCCTCACATGATTTCACTGTATCTAGTCACGCTTCACGCAACACTCGCGACAAGGAGCGACCGACAAATTCATGACTGAAACACATGTGACCCGAGAACATGTAATACTTAATCTAGCAAGGCTAAAAGAAACTACACTTTCAGATGCTAAGAATGCACTGCGTCACACTTTTGGCTGTTTTGTTCCGGTCTGCCTATCTTCAGTCTTTCAAGTCTCCTACTTTTCCATATTTAAGTTCCTGAACCTCAGATCTGGATATGTCGTGTTAGCCTAAGATGAAGGACCAACTCAGGCGCATATTCCGTTCACCACTATCGCTGCGCCGGGGCTCAGGGCTACCGAACGACTCAGCCCATCATTTGCAAAAAAGAGTCTGCATTACGGCTTTACCGCTGGATACGCCAACTGATTTATCTTCTCCCCCGGTAGCGGACTTCTGGCAGAAAGCACTTCACAGACTATCTATGAAAGACCAATTGTTAATACAAAAACATACTACAACACGATCGACTTCATGTATCGTTAGCGATATGCCAGTCTTACTGCTTGAAGAAGTCAAGCAGAAACGGGAACTATTTGAAAGTAGAAGATGGAATGTCAGTTTTAATGGCTTCACTTTCCGCTTGAGCGATATTGCAGACAAGGTCATGACATGGTTAGAAAAGTTGAAGGCTATTGGTGATATTGCTGTCAATGCAAACCTAATACACGCGCGGTTGCCATGGGCAGGTATCAGAACGTTGCTACTGGTAAGACCACCCACTGTAACGAAGGCCAAAATGGCTTCTGATGTTCAATACCTACTTAGGTAGCGACAGCGGATCGCGAGACTATGGGCTCCCTCCTAGTAGGGCTTGATAAGGTTCTCTACCTCGTTGACCGGTGTAAGGTCTACGAACTTTTATATCTCCACCATCCAAAGATGGAACACGCGTATCATAGTTTAGAAGCCAAGGTCATTGAACTCTATGTGCTAATCCTGCAGTTCCTACTTACTGCAATCCGGGTGTATGAGCGAAGTACGAAGACAAGTATTTCGCCGGCGTTTTGGACCCTCGATTGCATTAATGATTATAATGCTCGCTTTGAAGCGATCATTCGACGCATCGACCACGAGGCTCAAAACTGTGAGCGATGCTATAGTCGCATCGATCGTATTGTTTCCACCGACCAATTTGAACGGTTAAAGCGTGTGCTTGAGGACATTGAGCGAGTCAAGACCAATCAAAATGAGTTTCAAAATGCGGATAATACGCTTAAAAACATATGGCGACTTCTTGACGATAAAAAGCGAGATGATGTCCTTGGGTGGGTATCAGACATTCCATTTAAGGATCATCACACACTAGCGAGGACTGGCCGTACAGCAAATACTGGTGGGTGGCTCTTTAAGCAGCGGGAGTTCCAAGAGTGGCAGTTATCTAAGGACTCAATGATATTTTGGTTACACGGTATATGTGAGTCTTCCAAGACAATATTACCAAACGCGTCGGGCTCACACTTTCTTTTTCATAGCCGGCGCTGGGAAAACGAAGCTTGTTTCCCGAGTTATTGATGAGTTCCTGCAGGTCCAGGGGCAGAAGCTGGTATATTTTTATTGCAATAGGAATGAAAAACTTCGTCGGAAGCCAAAAGAAATTCTTCGCAGCTTTGTCAAGCAGCTTTCAATTGCGGATGATCAAACAGCAGTCCATGACAGTCTTCTCCAAATCTACAACGATAAGCGACAAAGAGGTTTTCCGTCGACGGACTTGAGCCTCGAAGAAAGCGAAGCGCTCCTAGCTCAGTTAATTTCCACATATCCGAAGACAATACTAGTGCTAGATGCCTTGGACGAAAGCGAAGAAGGCTCGAGGCAAGGTCTTATCAGTTATTTCAGCCAACTCGTCGAGCAGATACAAAGTTTGAAAATCTTCGTCACCAGCAGACGAGACGGTGACATAGCAAGCCGGCTCCAAACTAAGGCTAACATTGGCATTGATGCAACAGCTAGTCAGGATGACATTGCGAAATTTGTCTCACAGAAGATAGATGAAGACACGAAAAACCGGGCTACCCCTATCTCTGCCGAACTGAAATATGACATTGTCCGTATTCTTCAAGACAAGAGTCAGGGCATGTAAGTGTTCTACCCATCACGCTGTGTTGAGTACAAAATGACATGAGTCGAGGTTTCAATGGGCGAGCTTACAAGCTACGGAACTGTTATCCCTAGATCTAGAAGACGATATTCGTGAGCGTCTGGGATGCTTACCAGCTGACCTACAATGCGCATACAACGAGATCTACCAGCGAATCCTAGAGTCCAAGGGAAGCAAGTTTAAGATCGCGACGAGAGCCCTACAGTGGGTTATATGTTCGGAAAAGCCTTTAACGGCAGATGCCGTCGTTTTCCTCGTATGCCAGGATCCCGAGAGTGATACTTTGATAACCCCATACGTGGACATCCGATTCATCCTAGATTCATGCTCTAATCTCCTTGGCTTGGATTCCCGGCAGCTTTGCCAACCCTCACATCTCTCCGTGAAAGAATACTTTGAAAATCTTTGGGGCATAGGCATATGTCATGCCAATGCTGCAAAAATATGCCTGACACATATGCTAATCGCAAACAATCAATTTTCACAAGGATCTTCCAGGTATTCTGCTATGATTGGCAACTTCCTCACTTACGCAACGCAGCACTGGTTTGTGCACATAAGAGTATATGAGCACTATATCAGGAATACAGGTGACAAAATTGATCCTTGCTTGTCGCAGCTTGTTGAGAAATTCCTCGGTTCTGTCGAGGAAAGTGGGCCCGCCTATAGATCCTGGTGTGAACGTTGCAAACACTTGCCAGACTTCCCCCTTGAAGATCTGAAGCCTTTCTCTAATCCGGTGCTAGCAGTTTGCCGATTCGGCCTTCACCGCGTCCCGCTCACATGGTGGGAATCCAAACGCGTAGACCCTGAGCAATCAAACAAAGCAGCCAACTCGCTTCTAGCGCTAACGGTCTTCAGCGAAAATGAATATGCCGTTCAAAAGCTATTGTCACTTGGAGCAGACGTCAATAGACAGCTTGATGGGCTGCTCTGTAGCGGATCCGCTCTCGGTGCTGCCTCATCACTTGGAAATCGAGTAATCATCGAGCTACTACTAAGCGCAGGAGCCCAGATCAATCAGAAGCACACTGGAGGCCTCTATGGCAGTGCACTGGTGGCATCAGTCGCAAACCCAGGAGGTAGAAAGGCCACCCAGCTGCTGCTAGACTCAGGAGCAGATATCAATCAAGAGCTTGTTTGTGGGATATTCGGCAGTGCTCTTGCTGCTGCCGCTACTCGTGGAGCCGGAAGATATGACAGTACAATTATTCAATTACTGCTCCGTGTAGGAGCTAACGTCAACCAAGCCCTCACCAGTGGGAACTACGGCAGTTCCCTAGCTGCTGCCGCTTCAACACCCTTAGGTCATGAGACAATCAAGTTATTACTTGCCTCAGGAGCGAATGCCAATCAAAGGCTCATTTGGGGGAAATATGGTAGTGCTCTAGCAGCAGCAGCATTTGGTAGCCCCACAAATACCTCACTCCTGCTAGATGCAGGAGCCGACGTCAACCAGATGCTTACCTCTGGTCTATACGGCAGCGCACTTGCGGCGGCAGCGTATAGCCAAGCAAAACATACAGTGAAACTCCTACTTGATGCAGGCGCCGATGTCAACCAAAAGCTCACCACAGGACTCTATGGCAGTGTCCTTGCAGCAGCGGTAGCCAAGCCGGGCGCCGATGAGGAGATTGTACAATTACTGTTGGATGCAGGGGCGGATGTGAACCAGAAACTTTCCTCGGGTCTTTACAGTAATGTTCTAGAAGCAGCACGAGCGCGAACTCGCCCAGAACTTTACGAAATGCTGCTGGGGGCAGCCATCAGGAAGGATCAGAGAAATCCCAAGTATGTCAACTTGGAGGCTGATAAGTGTAAGGATCAAAGGTCGGCATGATGCAAAGTTCCTAAGTGTCAGGGATAGTGACCCGAGCTACAGTTGTTATATATAAGTATCTTGCAGTGGCAAGGTTCACGTACGGAGTTCTCGATGTGAACAATTGTTTGTCTAACTTCACATGAACGAGCTCATTACTTTTAAGTAATTCAGTTTGTATGGTTTTTTGTTTTTTTTTTTTCCCCCTGAAGGTCTCTTCCATTATTCTACAGTATACATAGATTTAGTTCTTTGATCGCACGTGATCTTCAACCATTTTCGCAAGAATATTTGACTATGCTATTGCGCGTGATTCACGCAAGAGAAATAACAGAGACAAGGGATTCTTGATAGTGTTGCGCCCACAAGGCCTCGGGCATTGCTAATGCCACTATTAACCATTGGTCATATTAGTTGTTCTTTGTAGGTCAACATGAACTCGAGCAAGCTCTAGTTCACTAGGAAATCGAGCGATTTCGATCCACTCTGACTTCCTATCCTGCCTGAAATGGTCGTTTTCTATGGAAAAGACCGAGCACGACACCAGGGAAGGTGAAGGGGAAGGGGAGGGAAATGGTACTCCGACTAACCGAACGCCATATTTATATGGACGTGTAATGAGCTAAGATAGGGAAATAGACCCCCTGAAAACCCAGAAAATTACAACACTTAATTTCTGTCCATAGGCACGAACACAAACATGATTAAACCCATACTTCAAGAAAGGGAAGGAGAAGTAAAGGAAAACTGAGAAAAAGATAACCCACTAACACGCCTATGAAAGTCCCAAGAACACCAGTACAGTCGTTGAAGACAAAGCCCTTTCCATGCCATCCTTTGGTATACACTGCTTTATTCCCTGAAATGCATCACTGTCCTGGTTTTACTTGCGTCCTTTTGTCGCTGCTGCCGTGCTCGAGGGAATAATGTTGAAACCCCGATCACATGACAACAGGAAAGTTTCCCGATTCATATAAGCACGTTCGTCGTCAAGAAGGTGAAATCTATATACGCTGGTGATGTGAGATGTGAGGTTGTATTGTGCTGGTGGATGAAGAGGTTGGTTCAAACTTCTTGAGCCCATCGACGCTCGCGGAGGGGCATTTCTTCGCCGGCTTTGGCGCGGCTGCCGTCGAGCTCTCGACGCCAGGCGTAGTATTCACCGAGGCGGGTTTCGGCGTAAGAAGCGTAATCAAAGTCGATTTGCGAGATCTGGGCTTGGATGAGGGCCCAAATACCCCTATTTACTATTAGCACTGGGCCATGGAGATTGGCATCGGGAGGAAGAACGAACCAGTATAACCCGGGAATGCCGCGGAAGCGATCGACGTCCTCATAGAGTCGATCGATGACCTCCTTCTGAGACGACTCTGGGAGACCTTTGTGCCGGGTATAGCTCCTGACATACTCGGTCAAGAACTGACGCCGAACGGCACATGTGGGCATCATGTTATAGTTACAGTCGTAGCCACCCCATTCAGCAAAATGGTTGGCGATGTCGAAAGCGGCTGGGGATGGAGTAGCGTATTCATAGTCGATAAACTGCACAGTCGCTGTGGGCTTACCCGCGGATGTGACAGGAGCCTCTGCGGATGGGACAGCTATGACATTCGCGCAGAGAAGGTCGCAGTGGGCAAACACCAACTACCGAGGGGGTTAACTGCTGGCCGGAATCTCTATGGCACAAGAATGGAATGTGATATCTACGTACCCCGTCTTCACCGATACCCTTGCCGTCGTCCAGTTCATTGACAGCCCATTCAAGCTCTTTCTGAAGGCCGAGTCTGCGCCTACGCTGCTCATCCGTAGCAGAAGGCAAAGCAAGGATCCATTTCTGGAGAACAGCCCACATGCTGGGTCCCGATTGTTTTGGCTTGATCAGAGGGAAGTCAATGTTATGCTTGGACGGATGGACATCTACTGAGTTCTGAAAAACAATCTCCACTTCAGACTGGGCAGGAGCAGCAGCTCCGCGGATGGGAAGGACTGCATGCCATTGTCCAAGCCTTCTAGCAACGCCACGCCAAATGGAAGCTGTCACTAGATCTTCATGAGTGGCAGGGCGTCCACGAATGAACCTATAGAGCAGGCCGTTCTGGAAGCGAGCCAAAAGTGAAGGGGCTAGGCCATAGCTGGCAAGTAGGGCGTGGGACTTCATTTCTCCTATAGACATCTACTCAGCATTGTCGCAATGGGCAAGAAGGAGAAAGGGCGTATGTCCCGAGTCTGTCTTACTTTCGCGGTCTATAAGAATCTCTGTGTGGTTACCGTACGCTCTCATCAGTACAGCTTCGTTGTCTATTTGTTCTTCGGTCAAGCCAGGCTTGCGATTTATGATTTTGAGAAGCTGGAAGCCAGTTAGTCCATGGATTCGACAGTTTGGACTCTATCTGCTCCTGCAGAGCAAGTTCGGAACACACAGTATTAGTGATGCCGTCCGTAAAGCGCACGAACTCGATGTTGTTCTCCGGGCCTTCCCAGTGAGGGTTCAGGGTCAGAACCAACCGCAGCGCAGACGCTTGAGAGTCGGCATGGTTGTATGACTGTGCGATGTAGCGCAGCGCCGTGAGAGGACAACTGTTCGGCTCAGATGTCGAACCCATCATGGTCGTTTATTAAGGAGTGAAAGGTGAGAAGCTATATGGAGAAGCGGGTCAACTACAACAGTTCTGATTTTCCTAATGTCAGCAAATCTCGCCAGAGAGGTATGAGAAGTTGTATGCAGCGAGAGTATCACTCGGGTGTAAGGAGGGAAAGGTACAAAGCATTGGAGTGTATACTAACCTAAACGGCTGGCTGTGGCACTTTTTTCTTCTTTTTTTTTTGTCCGTTTACTGAGGACTTCCCCTATTATTAGTGAGCGATAAGGATCGCAAACGATAACGATATACGTAATTTTAAAGAGTATTAAATTGACCGGCAATCAATACTCAGGGAACACAAGCCAGAAGGGAAAAAAAAAAAAAAAAAAGGGGGAGAAGTATTAAGCCGGAATGAGAGGAGAAAGAGGAGAAGAATGAACATTGGTCTCGTGCTTGCATGGCCATGATTGGAAGCTACGCAGCCTGAGGCCCCTCAGGCAACGAGAGCCGTTGCCCCCCTCGTTTCCTTACCAGGCTGTAAATCCGAAATTGCCTCCTTCACTCGGCTCCCCATGACGAAATGCCAGGGACGAAGAACTACGTATGCACCTATTCTTATACAACTCGATCGCCCTATGTGAATTTTCTGTGGGGTAGCACCGACGATTGTCAGCACTCAAAACTGGCCTATGATCAGCTCCTCCGGAGAATATAGTTCGCATTCCTTGACGGTTAAAGGGGGGGAGTTAAAAGTAAGGGATGGTTGACAGGTATGGTAACCGTGTTTATTGTGTTAGGTAAGGTACGGGGAGTATTCCCGTACACACTCCCCCGTATTGCTCTAACCCCTTTGGTCACCGCTCACTCAACCACTTTGCATGTGATTCTCAACCATGTGACTGGAGGGCGCTACTCGCCTGAGGCATCATTCAAGGCCGACCCGGCCTCACATGACTTTCCAACTTCCAACACCCTAAGCCCTAAGGGCTACTGCTCTCGGTAATTAGCTAGTCCCGAAGGTGTCCTAGTGGCTCCACTCCCGGTGGACTACAAAAGGCCATCGTTGGCGCCGCCAATTTCTCCCTCTTTTTTCTTTTCTTTTTTTTCCTCATCATCAGTAGAGGTTTACATTGACCATATGTAAATCAATACCGGAGCTTCATACAATGTATGACTCGCTGAGGGTTATCCGTGTGGGATTTTGCTCGATGGGTTTCCTTCCGTTCCCAGCTTCGGAGAGTAAATGCGTTTTCCTTTTTCCCTTCCAAATTATGGCTTAGCTAGGGATTCTTTTCGCAAGATAAGAGCCCCAGGCGCATGAGCTGTGGAGGAGGCGCGACATTCCAATTATATAAAAGGAATATCTGTGCTATGAAATCATGGTTGGATATTCCTATCTTGTAGGCATGCTGCTGAACAAGGCATTTGTTTTCAGGGTTTATATGCTGAAACCTTAGATCAAAAATGTGTCTATCTTGGCGTATCAATCTTCAAGCATACCATGTGTACCTGGCTATTGTTGGCAATGACATATTGGATGCTTTCTCCGATTGAAGCATCATGGCTAGTTTGCCTGCTAATCGCTTAAATGCGTCTGTCATTGGCCATGTCTGATATGCTTGTTTCCTTATCATGGAAGGCAGCGTTTACGGAGTATAGCCTCCATAAGAGAATGTCATGGGAACACGCCCAGTAGATGTTTTGTGTCTTGAGCATGTGGTGAGCAAATCTGCTATGCATTATCTTGACATTGGCCAAGTTAAGCCATAGTGCTTGTCAAATGAGTGTTGCATTGTGAAACTCTTCCATATAACTTTCACTCTCACTTTTTAGGGCCTATGCTGTTCCCAAACAAGAAGCAGTATCGACTTCCATGCTCAACTCAGTAGCTTTTCAATCCCAACTATGAGCTGCTCCTCTTTTTTGCTGAAGAGCGATCAACATAGCAAGTCTCGTCATGTGCCAATACAACCCAATCCTGAATTAGTGCCATCACAAGGTGTCTTGGCGATACGAGTGAATGTATGCCTCTGAAGCTGAGTAGATACCATGTTCCAACCATGTTAGTGCAAGATATGTGTTTCCCATGTCTCATTTATGCTATATAGTAACCTCAGACCCGTCCAGCCTGTCCGATTTGAATCCTCTCTCCACTCCATCTGTCATCGCTCCGCAAGACTGGCCAGCTAGTCCCATCAGCCTTGGCCAGCGTCAATTCCAGTTTAGTACCCAACACCTTGAACTGGCACTTTTCGGGATTAATCGGCGCAAACAGCTGATATGTATCTTTGTACCGCTTGTTATCGGTAGTGGGGAGGTCCAGGTCGATCGACTTCTCGGAGAACTCGACTTTAGCCTGGTTCTTATCGATCTTCTTGAGGTAAAGCGAGACATTGACCGAGTGTGGTGTTTGGTAGAAGTCGTTCCTATACAAGGCATGGAAGGTTAAGACAACGTTCCCCAAAGAGGTATCGCCATTCGTAGGACGAAATATAGGCTTCACTCACCTGACACTCTCCACCTTCTCTTCACCAGCCGGCTTGCCCTTTCCGACAAAGAGATGTTTATTTTTCTCCTTGCAGCCTTCAATCTTCAGGAAATCGTCGAAATCCAGAACCCTCTTCTTACAGCATGACCATCCCTTGCTGCCCTCATGGAAAATCGGCTGTCCCGGATGATGGACGCATTTTTCCTCCCCCCGCGACACGGACGAGTTATAGTTGGCGCCGCATCCCTTCCGACGGCATGTGGCGTTAGCCGGGATCTCAAGAGATGGGTCGTCGGACTCTGACTCTTCGGGGGCAGGTGTGGCTGCGTTCGACGGAGGGGCAATAGCGGGCGAGTATGTTGGCCGTGGTACCCCGCTATCTGCGACAGGTGCAGTGACCGGCTGGGGGGCAACTAGTTCGGGTGCAGCTGCGTCTGTGTTCTTTGGGGGTTCGACTGGGGTATCGTCTACAGTCGAATGTTTGCCGGTAGTACAGGGTGGGATTTCGAGAAATTCATCGAAGGTGAGAACGCGGGGCTTGCAGCATTTCCAGCCTGTAGATAACGGGAGGGTTAATGTTGGTGGATCGCACCGCAGGGAAGGACGGAGGTGTCATGCGACGAATCCCAGGGGCCACTGTAGACACCAAGGTCCTTAAACTTACCCTTTTGGCCTTCATGGAAGACGGGTGGCCCAGGATGATAGACGCATGGCTCTTCGGGATCGGTGAAGACCTTCCCGCAACCCTTGTGGACGCACTTGGACATTTTTTTCGATGGGGGGAGGCACAATGCACTTCTCGTCTCAGTAGGACGTATAATATACTAGCAACAGCAAAATCGCTTCAGTCCATGAGACGTGAACCTTCGTTGGCGGGGGCAAATCGCATCGAAAGCCGCAGAAATACTGCCGCCGCAGCTGCCGCCCAAAGTGGCCCGAAGGGGCTTAGTCTGGAGAAGCTCGAAGGTTCCATTTTATCGGCGCGGAGAGCACGATAACTAAGGTAGTAAGTAACTCTATTGTTTGACTGTCGACATCACCACCTGATCCTATCGCCCGTTCGCGGCCTTCAACCACCACAACTTTGTCAGCCATTCTGGCTTAATTTGTTTATTTTCAATCTCTCACCATGTTTCCTACCGCCGCCCGTCTCTCCCAAGCGGTTCGTGTTACGCTCTTCACCCGGCTCGGCTGCGGACTGTGCGACACGGCAAAACACGCCGTAACTCAATTACACAAACGGCGGCCCTTCGAATACTCCGAATTGGATATTATGGTCCCCACCAACAAGCCCTGGAAGGATGTTTATGAGTTCGATGTCCCTGTCTTACATGTTCAATCAGTCAAGGGTCAATTGGAAAACGGAGAAGCCGACCTCTCCGATCCAAAGAAGCTGTTCCATCGGTTCACCGAGCAAGAAGTCGAAACTTTGGTCGACGAGGCCGAGAAGGCGAAATCATGAATTCTAAACCACATTTAGCTAATTGAGCCATATCTCAATTCAACCTCCTATACCCTCCATTTCAAATATTCCTCAGAATTACGAGTGAGTGAGATGTGAGGAGTCGTTCGACCTTGTGTCGTCTAGACATGCCGGGATACAATTCCGAGTGATCCCTTGTTTCAGCCCCGAGAATCATGCGCAAAGGATCGTCTGCCTCTTCAATGTATCCAAACCTTCGTGATAATCCCAGTCGATCCCGACTTTAATGCACGTCGTCCTTCTCCGATGACTAGGAAGGTGTCGCATACCAATGTCGGCTCCTTCATTCAGCGGCAGAAGGGTGGATATGCGCGTCGTGGCCGGTTAGTCGTTGGTAGGGGTTAATGGGATGAGTAGATAAAACTAGGTATCTGAGAGTAGCTAAGGTGTTAATAGAAGATAAGATTATATAGCAACTTCTCATCGACATAGAAATAACTTTGCTTAGTAAACAATGCAAGGGTATCAGAGCCTCATTCCAGTGGACCAGCCAAATCTATAGGCAGACTCTCGATCCATCCATAATATCCGCGCGTGTCCTCTACTGGCTGCCTCCGGTTCCTGTTGAGGGCAGGACTACCGTTCCCCGTCCTTTGCAGCAGTCGATTACGAGTATTTTCATCCAAGACCGCAGCTGCGTCGGCTGATGGGTCAGCAATGCCAGACCTTCTAATGAGGCCGGAGAGATCCTTCAATGTGTTGCAGCACAGTTGTGCTATACGCGCCACCTTTCCATTTGGTCTTATACTGTGGTAATGGTCCAATATGTCGATAGCTCGCGTCAAAGACGTCTCTACCTCCCCTTCATTGATTTTACCGCAATTGTTGTCATTGAAGCTGGTAAAGTTACTTAGACGAGCTGCAAGAAAGACCGTTCCGCAGGCATAAGTATAATCAATGTTCTCCCAATAGGGAGAGATGAGGTTAGGGCGGCTGTCGTCTGGCCTGCCATCAAGCGGCCTATCTTCGTGCGCACGAATAAGGTTGATCAGTTCCAAGGCGACCGCCACGCTCTTGATTGAGACGTCGCGTACCATGCTGAAAATCACAGGGGAGGTGGAGGAGCTAGGCTCTTCTTTAGTAGCGTGCGGGCGACCTTCAGGTCGACAATTGCATTTGGTGGACAGTGCCAGTCCCAAGGACAGCAGAGGCCGATATAGTCGAAGACGAACATACAGGTAGCGTGCTCGGAGAACATTCCGCTGTCGACACACAATCGGGTCATCCCATATACCGCCCGCGGCATCATCTTGCAGATATGATGGCAGAGATGCCTGCCAATCGTATAAAAGAGTGTCTACCTTCAAAAATATCTTGAAATCGAAGGAAAGAAGTTTCTTAGCAGCGCAGCTATTTGGCTGCATTCTCAGCTCATCCTCCCATGCTAAAATATCCTCGACGTGGCTATACAGCCTGGCACAGGCCGTCAAAAACTCTATCAAGGATGGACGATCTGACGTGACGGCGGAGTTCCCCCCAGATATAAAATCGGTGTAGTCTGTGTCCCAATGCGTCGGTAACGGCACCCTCAGTGGATTGGAGGTTTGCGGTGGGAGCCCTAGCTGCAGTGCAATCATCCGTTCCAGGATCATGGCGCTATGCCAGAGTCGCCGGGCGAGTTCTCGATCCCTCCTTCCTCGAGTATCATGCCCCCCTGTCTTGAAGTGCAGGCCCAGGACTTGCGCCATGCGGATGGCAAACCCAATGAACATCCATGCCAACCTTGAGTTGCCAGTCGCATATAGATACTGGCTTTGTAAGATATGCGATTGAATACGCTCACATAGAGACCCGCTGTTCTCCGCATCCCTGGACATCCTCTGACCGCGATTAAAGAAACTCGTCACATCTTCGTCATTCACATCGTTTGTACTTAAGCCAGATAAACTGAAAATGGTATTCAAGATGCCATGGAAACTACTGGGGCCTGCGGCTATGTCCTGTTCAGTTCTGGTAGTCTCGTAGGCTGACTGAAACTGTAAAAGGTCCAGTATTGGCAAGTTTGCATATTCTCTCGTTAAATAAGATAGAACAAGACGGTCAGCCATTTCCTGAGACAAGTGCACCGATGGGTCTTCGCCACTCGATCTGGAGACGGAAGGCTGTATGACACCATTTGTGAACATGGGTATTTGAGCTAAAAGAGGGATGTCGCCTGTTAAATCTTCGTCCTTGGCTCTGCCCGTTCGCTCCTCAACAGCTCTTTGCAACCTCATCACTTGCGAGGCCTGCGCTCCACTATCATCGAGGTGAAAGCCTTCCTCCTGGGGCAAAACAGCGGTGTGGTAGCTTTGATCCGAAACCATGGAGGAGACCTCAATCACATCGCTTTGTGTAATATCAGGCGACTGGCGCACTCCACCGCCTCGTAGGCGTCTTTCATTGTCTGGAGTCGAGATAATAACAACCTCGAGCTCAGGGAACGCCTGGGTAGTCATACATTGTCTCGGGCGGTTACTTTGACCGTCGTTAGCAGGATTCAGTCACATCAGATTTGGAGTCATACGGAGGAGGCATATCCTGGGGTCTATAGGAACATTCATGTGACTGGCCCTTTTGCCGACATCCTCCGCATACTATACACAGTACTTGTTAGTGATTTTATCGCGTGCTGTAGGGGCGCAAGTGGCGGATAGGGAACTTATGCAGTGAGAGTTAACGAAAGCATACTTGGTTTCTGTCTGTCACACCCCCTTTTCTTGCGGCGACATACACAACAAGGAGGACCAGGAAGTCTCCTCACATTGCGCATCCTGCAGCTTGGAGATTGTATATTGCTTGAAACCCTGTCAATCCAGCGTTCAGTATCAATACGTTTCTTATAGGCTCTCATACACTAACGGGTAGCTTGTTTGGATACTCAGTTCATAGCTGATTACTTAGATATATTAACAATGTATATAGGAAGCTTAACCCCTAGTCACATAGACCAAGGCGCATCTAGTCAGCTCAGAGCGATAATATCTTTCTTCACACTGTTGTGATATAGAATCAAGTAAAATAGACAGCAGTGCGTATAATTGCCAATAAATACGGATAGTGCTGATAATGGGGCAGTGAACAAACGGAGAGGTGAAAAGGTAATGGAACCCTGGTCACGGGAGGGCGATTCTTATATATGGTCCGTGCGCTGGACGTATCGACTTCCAGGTAAACAATGTACGTAGATCAACTCAAAACAAACCATGACCTATCCCACCAATTTATAGTTTCTTTCTATGTACCTTTTCCCACCCCCATAGTATGACGGTGTGCCAGGATCCCGGCGATTGAACCGTTAGCGCTTATTAACATCTAAGGGTCGCGCCCCATACAGACCTCGCTACCGGTCGAGCACATAGAAATGGTCATCAACGATTAAATATTATTAGGTACTGTACAAGACCATCCATTAGGCCAGTTCCGAGTTACCAAGTGGCAACCGTAGGTATGAAGTACAGCCTGCGGACGGCTACTAGAGAGTCATCCAGGTCATATCTATCAACCAAACGATCAAATCTCGTAAGACATCAAACATGGCATCCCAGGCCGAGGGATATACACAAAACAGTTGAAGGTTTCCATACATAGAATGAGCCAATATTGTTGCAGCGAATCAAAACCAGCCCCGTGCATGGTGACGGGGAAATTAGTGGTCCACAAGGACGAACAAATGGTTTACCAGCAGCCAGTTGCACACCGACTGAAAAGGAATAAAACGTAGATAAACAAACGCCAGGTCCGTATTCCGCAAGCAGTGGATGCCAGATTGTGCAACAATCGAGGAAACCAAAATAAAAAAAAAAAAAACCATGTCAATAAAAGCCTGTTCATGTTCCAAATCATTGCAGTAGTTTTGGGCATCAGTTACTGTTATTATACGGCGCCATTAAACCGCATCAATAGCAGAAATGCATATAGGTTGTCTGATGCCTGCTGAGAATGTTGCAGGCGCACAATGATTACTCAGAACCACATGACGCCGACAACTAGGCCTATGACAATAGCCATGCAACTACCGCGTGCAGGCTGTGAATTCGGTCCATGCCCAACGCCCTTAGGCCGCTCTTCAACTCCCACCGGTAAATCAGGGATTTCGGTTCGCTTAGCAGGCGATAGCGGAGATGTGGGCGATGAGGTTGAACATGCGGCATTGCTGCCGTTTGATGGGAGCACCTTGGGTGCAACCTTTTCTTCAATGTGTTGATCAGTCTGTTCTGACAATTGCAATTTCTCTTCTGTGGTCTCTTCAGACCCGAGCGGTAGTCGTTCTCCTGAGAAAGTATGTGGAGCAGTCCAGTTCCCGAGATAGACCCTCGTAGCATGGCAGGCCTGCTGCCATAATTCACGTAGATGAGAACGAGGGTACCGGTGACTTTGCGAATGAAGTTCTTGTGGCGTTGCCGTGGCATTGCTGCCGTACGACTTTGGAAGGGGTGCTTCGGTGGTAGGAGAGGCGCTGATAACAGCTAAGTTGGATACATCCGAGGTGAGAGAGCTAGGTGCTGAGGCCACAGAAGAGGCGACCCCTGTGGCAAGCGGGATAGATATTTGGCTGTCACCCGTCTGTTTCATGAAAAGCGATTTGAAGGCGCGTATACCTCGCGCGAAAGTTGATGGTTCTTCGGTAAAGCATGCTATCGAATCGGTGTCAAAGACAGTAGCAGCCTCGAACGAGCTGCGTGGGGTGTCTGGCACGAAGCGCCGCGGGCGATGGACACGGTCCAGGTCTGACAGGCAGTAACCATTTATCGCCCACGACTTACACTGACTGCCAGTCGTCCGTATTCTCGACTGGACGTCGACTGGACCATCTCTAACACGGGAAGGTTCTATGTTCCACGCAATGTGAGATCAATGTTATAGCCAAACAATCACAACGGGATAAGAGACACTTACGCCGAACATCGTTATGATGGTAACCAATATACCCGAAGCGCAGATTATAGAAGTCCCACTCCTTTGCCAAGGACACCAAGCTGAGCAATGAGAAAACAAGAAGAGCAAGAAAGGAGATGGCACCAGGTTTGTGGAAGCCTGACCGCATCATACACGTTCATAGACCTCTCGTCCACGTTGGCGATCCTCGAGAAGGCGAATTTCCAGAGTCAACAGAGTTCCTGCGTGCTTGAAGAGCTTTCAGGATCAGGCAACTTCATTGCCATACGGGATTGACGAATAAGCTGGAAAATAAATCAAGAACCGAACGGTATATGCGGAATAGCCTCCAGGTTTATATTATTTTTCCCATGCGCACTTATATCTCTTTTCGGTGGCTGCCTCTTTCTCTCGGGGGATTTTTTGTTTTTTTGTTTTTTTTTTTTTTTCCCAACGACTTTTGTCGGGGGAGGGGGGATCGGTCAGTCGGCCGGTACCTCGCGAAAGTGACTTGGGAAATGAAGCCCCAGCAACGAGATAGGCACAACACGCAATGGTGGGGGTTGACGCCAGATGAGGAGAAGAGGATAGGGCTTTAAATCGGCTCGGGATGTTTATTCTTTGTCGGGTAGAAGTTTTGCAGGAATTGATCGCTACTAAATGACGTAAAGGACGTGGTGGACGCAACGTAACGTGCGGTCGCAAGCGGATGTTGCCAAGTCGATAGAGGCCAAGGATGAGTGCCCGTGGGGAATAAGCTGGGAGAGAAAGAAGGTCACTCCAGGGTCAGTGAGGAGGGAAAACAACAATGAGGTCGAATCAGAGCAGCATCCAACCCCCTAAGCATGCAAGTATGACCGGTAATTCTTTTTGGCAGAGGCCTTTTGGTAGTTCGATTGGCACGAAGTCAATAGCCTTTTCACTAGTCCTGTGGCCGATCTGCACGTTGTCTTTCCCTTATTGAGGCTTTTTTTTTTTTTTTTTAATTCCCGCCGTACCGCCCTGGGTTATTTTACCGTAGCATCGGTTAGCGTCGTCTGCCTGAGGCGACCCAAATGTTGCCTTGTGTTGCAACATTATGGAGTATAGACAGGACAGGTACATCTTCTTACTTGGTTCATGATCACAGTGTACTCATCATCCATTTCCTTTACAGCTATCCAGAAATAACAATCTGACACTATTTTACTTCCTTCAAAGACGAAGGCAGGATTAAGAACTACTTCGTCCAGTACTACATCGGCGTCTAGTTTCTTTGTTTGAGCCAGTGTCTTCTTTTACTCCCGGCAAGCAACTTTACACTACCTATCTTTGGTTTGGCCCTTGTATCACTCCTTAGTACACTCACTATACCACAGTATTACGAATGGCAACAAAGGGTCTTCAGACTGGTCTGAACCCAGACTCACAAATAAGTATTCACTCAGCCAAGAAAAGTGCTGGTTTAAATGGCAACATTCGCCCTTCTTCTTCATCTCTACATATAGATAGACTTTGCGAGTTCTCCATATAGGAGCCTGATCTTCACGGTCACTTCAATGTTAGGTATCGGAGCATGAAATACTGCTATAAGTGGGCATTATCACCGAGGTCTGAATTGGACCCGATCAGCTGCTCCTTTCTTTCCACCAAAATGCTGAACAGCGGATCCTTCTCCAAAGTGTCAAGAACATTCAGCTCAATGTGATCAAGACTTCCCATAAACTCTGTACCTTGCTCCCATAAAGATTATGATTTTTGATACGAGCTTGCATGATAGCACACGTTCCATCGACGGGCTCCAACGGGTGCCACAGGTAGTCAATGGTACCCAACTGTCCCCCCCCCCCAAAGACGAGCTTGTATATTCTCAGCGGTCTCATCTCAGTCTCACGGGATTCTGCAAGCGTAGTTGTAAGCTGGGTATCCTTCTGCTCTCTCAAATGGGAGCCTAACTCGTGAGCATATTCAGAGGTAACTGCAGTGACCTTCTGACGAAGGTTTAAGGCAAATCTCGTGAGATGCAGCAGGTCAAATCTCTTGTGATCAGAATTTCCCACCCAGGGTAAACATCCTTCTGTATCAAATTAGTCTGGACAGTGGTCATAAAACTACCGAAATACTTTCCAGCACCAACTTTCCGGGGCCTCGGACGCAGATACACGACCAGCGCAAACTGCTCTGTTTTCGTCAGGCTGGATACTACTAGTTCACTCTGCGCCGCAGCAGACCGACTCCTTTTAGTGCAAAGCGCAAATGCTGCGTTCACTATATCTGACCCCGACATAGATCGAGCTCGTGAAGACGACACTTTCTCAAAGCAGAGCGTTAGGCTATTGCTCGTTGTCTCCAATATCTGGAATTTTCTTTTCTCTCTAATAAAGGAAACATATCGTTACGATAATTTGCCGCCGCCGAGGCAAGTTCCGCACGCACGTTTGCTCTTACATCGCACTAGCAGTTCTCTGAGAATTTGTCCGTGCTGCATGATCATCTGCCTTATCCGCAAATCGGCGCCTGGGTCTAATGCCAACGGCATCTTAATGTCAGTGCAACTTGGTAAAGCATTGTAACAGCAAGTTGCCAAGGATTCAAGCACATATCCAGTCCCAACAGCGTCAAACTCATTATGGGGAAAGGCCATGCTGAGGATAACGCCATCTTTTAACAGAGCTTCCTGAAACTGAAGTACAGGGCGAGGTTCAGAATCATCCAGTCGAAGTCGTATGGGGCAAAGGGTGTCTGTGTATTATATGAGGACCCAAGCTGGTTCATCACATTGCATATCAATACAAGTTAGTACTGTGTTTGGAACATTGCCACTTTGTCGAGCTTACAAGGTGAAGGCTGTAGTTGTTCCTCTAAGGCCTGTCGCGGGAGAATAGGTTAATATCCCCAGCGAGGAATGGAAGCCGGTGAATTAGCTTGGCTACCCCGTCTTCTAATGCCTGGTGCCTTGCTTTTAGATTGTAGAGCGAAAGAAGAGAAGAAAGGCCGGGTAGCTCCGTGGTGATGCTGAGTCGAAAACTGTCAGAGGGTAGTTGAAGGAATCCATGCCTGGGAACACAATGTTGTCTAGTTAGGACGCTTAGAAAAGGGTCCGAATACTAGAAACAGTCCGCTAATTGAGGGACCATTGAAAATGCAAATGCACAACTTATTCGTTGTAGCTGATTGCGGAACCCTGGATTGCCTTGTCATTGCCTAGTCAAATTCGAAACCCACAAGACAAGCCGGCGTACAAATCAATAGATTCAAGCTTGCGTGATATACAGCAGTATATTAAAGTAAGGTATGTATGCATTTATCTGATACAGCCAGTTCATCGATCGATATTCCATACCTGGAGTGTTAGGAGCATTGCTCCTTCTCAGCTGTTGTTATAGATTAGAGTGCTGTTTATTTCCTCAAGCAAAGTCGGAATTCCCAGGTCTTTCTCCATGGCGAAACAGACAATGCTCACTATACTCGATAATAACACGTTATGATATCATGAAGAGTAACTTCAAGCATTCTATTCACCAGCCATATCACTACTGAAGTTGAAAGGCAAGCAAGGAACAATGTACATCCCAGCATATCGCTTTTTTTTTTTGTTTGCTAACATTGTGAGGTTAGATAATACAAAACGACCATGTAGAATTGCCGCATTAGAGGTATAAGAGCCTAGAAACCAATAAAAAAACAAAAGAATACATCAAAGTCGCTATAAACAAAGTAAAAAGACAAAAGACAAGGCCAGTGCCACAACGGAGGGAGATCTTTGAATAATTTCAAACACCCACACTGCAGCGCGTCTGGTCATCATGTACAATCGTAGCGACAATAGTCACAATTAATCATCAGCACTCGTGTTTGTAGTGGTATTAGATTGGGTTCATCATGGTAGGGTCAGGAACGGCCGGAGGCAAGTCATTGCTAGTCTTTGGTGGTTCTGTTACCGGTGGCACTGGCGTGACTGTTGCCGGTGTATCGCCAATTTCACTTTTCGAGCTACCATCTCGAAGAGTCGCAGAGGCCGTGCTGCTACCTTCAGTGCTGCTAGTCTTGCCCCCACGCTTAACCATCTTTCCCAAAATTCCAACGATCTCAGCGGCATCCGCGAAGCTTTCATCATCCATGGCCTCTTGAGCTTTATAAACATCTGCTATAGCTTGTTTGGCCACTCGCCGACAAGCATTGGAATCATGGAGACAATCGTAAAGATACGCCGCATATTCAAGCTTAATAGACAGACGTAAAGGGTGAGAGCCAGGAAGAAATCGTTCAGCCAAGAGAGCTGCATGATTGAAGCATGCCGTCGCCGTAGGGGTGTAATCGAGAGCAGGCAGAAGAAAGCACGACGCCTTGGGCGGTTGAACGGGTGCGAGTCCAGGAGGAACTTGGATAGCAGTGTACCGAGAGACGTTCCCCGAGCTGTAAGCTGGCTGTTCAGGGACTGTTATTGATTCTGCGTTCGATCTAAATGAGAATCTCGACCCCGGTTCTTTAGTTGGTGATTCGGCCTTGGGTGTGTCGTTTGGTTTGGTACCATTGCTCGGAAAACTGGTGATCCCCGGACAATGAACTGCGGGCTGATTGTGAAAGAGTACAAATATGTGGTAAAAGGATGCTCGAAGTTTATAGGCTAGGATCTTCAGCTCCACATATCCCTCAACCATCGGGAGAACGAACTCTTCCAAAATCAGTAGTCCTTCACGGGAGAGCCATAAAATATGATGATATAATTGAAGTGACTTAGTTTCTCGGCTAGGATCCAGTCGCCGTAGTCGTCGTGCACGAAGTAGCTTCTTCGAAAGCATGACAGAAAGGCCTAGAACTCTATAGAGCATTGCGGACAGGAAGGGGTTTTCGAGGCTGGTTAAGGCCGCAAAATTGCCCAAAGCCTTCTGGTCTACCTCGGAGGAAGCCATCCACAAAGCCAGAAGATTCGGGTCTATGATAGAGAAGCCGCCGCAGACATTAGCCATGTGCATTGCATATTGTGCCATGTTAGCGAAATGATTGTCTCCAGAACAATCGAAGTGCTACTAATGATAGCCTAGACCAATTCGCACTCAATTGAGCAGTCAAATGCACAAGGAGAAATAGAAGCCTTCGTCGTTCGAGTATATTTCGAATGCGACAGTGAAATGCAGTGGAAAATATGGAACAGAAAGAGTGCTAAAGAGCTTGTCATCTTACCTCGGAGGCGCGCACAAGCGAGCGGTAGAATCAAATTAGTTTATTCAAAAGCGGTACAGTTCGCTGCCCATGTCAGGCGCTGAAGCCAGATGCACTTCTTTTTTTAGGTTTGTCGATATGCACTGTCGGCACTTAAGCGAGAATTTATTTTGCGTACTGTCACTCCGAAGCTTGCTTCGACCGTGTGCTGCGATACCCCTTTGCGTCTGTCCTTCAGCAGTTGCTTTTGAATTGTACCGGAAAATCAGGGAATTAGGCACTGAACGACAAAGCGAAGCGCTAGAATCACAGAGCCACCGATTGAACCGTAAGAAGTATGTTACAAACAGATCAAGTACTGAAGGCCTTGAAACTTTTCGTGATATGCAAGAATTTTTGGTGTAGACTGTACAATGCCACAAAGGGAGCTAGAAAGACAGGGCGGTGTTTCCAATCAAACGACGTTAACCGCTGCGACGGCTTTTCGATAGCCTGGGCTCTATGCAAGAACTGGAAATATCAAAACACTCGGTCGATACAGGGAAATGATTAGCAACGCAAGGCACACGGAAGGGGGGGATTGTCAATGGCAAAATATTGAAGGGCAAGGAGCTCGTGGTTATGAGGTAGGAGGCAGCTTTGATGCATCGTGCGCAACTGGCGCGGTAAGGCGGTAGTCTGTGCTTCTCAGCCAGCGGTTGCTGGCAGTGAGGATTGGGGGGCCACAGTCAAAAAACAATAAGAGATATGAACAAGCCCTAGAATTAGTCGTTAGATGGAGGGGAAGCGGCTTAGATATTGCGATTGTTCGACAAGGTGGATTTGGTCCAAAAAGCGGTATCAGCCACAGTTGACAAAAAGAAGTGGACAGCCCGGCCACTGCTGCCCGTGTATTGGGGGAAGGAACTGAAATAGTAAGGTCGTAATGAGAAACGGATGATGCAAGGAAAATTAGTACCTGTGCGGTCGGAATTTCCCCTGACGCAGTATGGAGGTGGATGGAGCCGCGGCAATACTGTGTGGGTGAGTTCTGTCTTAATCTACTCCGTGTATGATGTCCTGTTGTTTCTTTCAATATTGCAATGCCGTCATATGCATTGAACCTCACTGTCGCCTCATCCGATCTTGCTATCCTCCACTGTGGGGGGAAATTTCTTTTCCTTCTTTTTTTTTTTTTTTTTATATTATCCCCCTTTCGTTTAATTCCCAAAACACGGGAACAGTCGGGCAGCCATACAAAATCATCCACAATCAAAGATAATCGTCATAAGTAATTACGGGGTAAAAAAGAAAAGTGGCGAAATTTTGACTGCTGCCGTCCCCCAAAGTCCAAGCATGACGCGGGAGGACAACGCATCGTTTAGTTCGATACGTGTCAGAATCCGAGCGCTGATTTTCGCTGCCTTGCAGCTTTTGATCCAGTCGATTGATGAGATAGGATTAGTACGGTGGATCGCCTATCGTCCGGCAGAAATAAGTAGCACTTAGGCCGCAGATAGTGCTGCAGGCTGCAGATAATATCATTATAGGACGGTCAGTTCAAAAAAGGCATGATCTCTGTGCCTGGGCCACTCCGTCGCGAAGTCCGTCTCATAGACTAAACCACAAGTGTTGGAGCTCAGCGTCCGCGCGCTTGTTAGCATTGGGATGGCGGCAGAAATTAACTCGGACGAGGCGCAACCATGACAGTTGGCAGGCATCTGCCAGCGTGGCACCGACATACTGGATGGGTTGGCGGGGGCTGTGAGACATCAGCTTGCAACAAGGTGGCACCGTCTTCTTTGAATGAAAACCAGTAATACTGGTCCCCTCACTTCATGAACTGCAGTTGAGTCCTGTAAGTGTAGTCAGTCAGTCTCCATGCGAGGATAGAAACAAAGAGCCAATTTAACCGTTCCAACACATGGCAGAGACCCACCGCCCTATTGACCGCTAAGGTATCTTATCAGCCATCCTTGTCCATGTATGTACATATGTACATATACATTTGGATACAGCATGTACAATAAAGACAATCGAGGCTAAGCTATGAAATACTAAATTCAGCATGTGTAACTATCCTTTATGTCTAACACAAATCAATTGTCAGAGTGCAACTCCTTTTCGACATGCATCAGCACATCCAAAGCTACCTTTCAGCAACACCAGCATTATGAGCTAAGAGACTACTATATACATATAGCAATGCTGGCTCTTTAGAAATTATAAAACAAGTGTCAAGAAATAAAACCCATCCCTTGTCAGCCTAATATATATTCTTAAGCCCCATTCTATCGCAGAAAAGAAAACTTTATCATTCTGACATGTCGTCAAGGTCATCAATGTCTAGAAATCCTACAAACGCGCGTTCAAAGAACGTCCGCCATATTTTGTTCTGGGGTTTTTTCTTTTTCTTTTTCATTTGGCGTTCAAAGTCATCGTCATCATAATCATCGACTGCGCCAGTCTCGCTGGCAGGCAGACCGTCGACGTTTGTGCTGTCCGCCAGAAAATCATTCTTTTTTGAGGATTCCTTCGCAATTCGAGTCGCTAGTTCAAAGAAACTGCGCACTGTGAGATCCTTCATCTTGTAAACTGGATCATTTCTAGTATCGTATTCAACCTCAAAGACGAAGGCATCATCGCCACGGCTCGTTTCACGAACCTCGTTAACCTCGGTGTCGGTAGGATTGACGGAGCCACCAGCAACTTCTCTGCCGTTGGTCACGTGCTCGTTGATTTTGGTTAGGTTGGCGAAATATTGAGTGTAACCCAGCCATGTAAACGGTTGGTTCGAGTACGCCGGTCCTGGTGGAGTGGATGACGATGGTGGTTTGGGGACCTTGAAGTGGGGCTGTTTCTTCTTCTTCTTCTTCCCCTTCTTCTTTTTCTCGATAGATGCATCATCGTCTATCATCTCGGGGGAAGGCGAGGCTATTGCAGTATCTTGATCCAAAGACTCGGCCCAAGTCGTGGCATCGACCAAGCCAGAGATGTTATACTCAACGACCCGAAGCGATGGAAAGTAATTGGGAACTACACTGGGAGATACCAATGATACGCTGTATCGCTCAGCCCAGGGACCACCAATCTTCTTCAGAAACTTGCGTCTCTTTTTGTTTGCCATCAGAACCTCAGGATCAGAATCTTCGGCATGTTCGGTGGAACCATCCTCAAATAATTCATGTAGGGCTGACATTCCTACGGGTGGTGACGGCATTTTAGACCAATCTTTCCTGAGGTCGACAAGGTAACTTTGGCGGGACTGAACAGAGACCAAGGGATACGTATCGCCAGATACGGCTGAAGAAGCCGAGCTCTTGCTGGCATCAAGGATGTTCACTTTATGGCTGTCCTGGAGCATAAAATGGTCGATGTTCATATGCCCATAGGCAGTACCAACAATAATGTCACGATACTGATGGACCCAAAGAGTGTATTTCTGCCAACACGTCTCATCCCAGCTTCGCTTGGATCCAGACCTCGCCGGGGGGACATGCCCTATCAGGATTGCTTTCATGTCGCGTGACCGCAGCAGCTTTAGTTGCACACGCAACCACTCCATATGCTCAAATCCTGGCTGCGATTTGGCTTTACAACCGTCGACCGCAGAGTTGGAGTCAAAGAAATACATCGTGTTCAAGCTAATGACTGTCAACTTGTTGGGAATCACCTCCGACGTAAACCAGCCGCCCTCCACGAAGGTGTGGCGCTGATGCTCCGGGATGAACTTTGCCCATATATCGACAAACTTCTTAGTCCATCGGTTTGGGCCATCGTTAAATATGTTGTGTGGCATGAAGTCGTTGTTTCCCAGAGTAGGAACGATTGGAATAGAAGGGGTATGACTGGAACCCTCTTTGAAAGTGTCAATGAATTTGCCAGCAATTATCTCGTTCAAGGCAGACACCTCCTCCTCCGTTCGAGGGATTTTCTCATCATTATCATGACGAGCAGAGTCACCAGTCCATATGACAAAGTCGATATTGCCTTTGAGGTTTTTTTCAATCCAGCGGAATGTTTCGTTTATAAGGGTGAGAGGCGCGTCGCATTCGCTCCCTTCCGCTCCAAAGTATCCCGCAGGGCCCTTTCCCCGATGGCATGCGTCATCCCCGTCCACGGATCTCCCGGCCTTGTAGTGCGAGTCTGGATGTATGTCTACAAAGGTTAGCCTACTTCTCCGTTTGCTGAGATAAATCTATTCCATACCTGTGATATGCAGAAAGCGGCCGGTGAGTCCTCGGCTAGAAGAGGAGTCCGATGGCTTGTCAATGCTGTAAATGTCGCCATTTGAATGCCAAAGCTGGTCGCCCAACGGTTGTTGGTCTGATATGGGTATGGCGGGGACACTGCCGATCAGGGTAGAGATAATCGGGAGAATCAGAATGGGAAGCATTGGTACTTCTTTCCAACCATGAGAAGCCCCAACCAGGCGGCAAAAGAATAGTTTAGCCTCTACCAGCAATCCCAAACATGAAAACAGGAAGCAGACACGCGACGTGAGAAGTTGAGGAAGCAAGAGTTAAAGAGATAAAAAAATTATGAATGAGTTAACGTCACTACCGTTTAGTTTGATGGACGGGATCCGGAGACCGATTAGGTTTAGCCTGCCGAGTACCGTGCTGGATCACTTTCGAGTCGGATTTCTTGGAATGTCTTTTTAGTATTCAAACTTCACACCCTTAGCTAAAGATAGACTGGACAAATTCACAGGCCTTTATGCGCTCCGAAGGAGGGGTCATACTCCATGCTCAGGTGGTCAGATTCCTATATGGAGGTGTCTACTGACTCTCTATCGGAGTATATGTGCGGGTACAGCACTGCCTATGCAGCGACCCGCAGTGTCAATCCTCTAACTTCTACCCAACCAAATGCCAGACAGAGCCTCTCCTGCCTTCGGGGGGCCCCACGTGGGTGCCAGGGAGCAGTTGGTTTGCTCGACTAGGTGTTAACCGGAGTAACATGACCCATTTATGAGAGTGAGAGATCTGGAGACCTTGTGAGCACGGGCTATTGTTGTGGGTTCCATGGTCGATGCAAACGGAAATCGTAATAGGGCACCGCTAAGGGTTGGGCCAGTCGAATTCACTAGCGCGAAGGCTTAAGATATCAGATCAGACCAACCCGTCGTCCGCAGATCATGTCTCGTGACTTATAATTATTTCAACACACCATCTACTACGGAGTAGTAGTCCTAGTATGTCATTCACTTTCGTCTTTGATTCTTCTGTAGGTATAACCTATCTTACAGTAGACCGCCACGGTGTTGTTTCAAGGGTCTATGCAGCCTTCCGAAAAGACTGACATTGCCTAGCAGCAAGGTGATTGGCGTCGTCATGGAATGCATCTGTAAGCTTAGTGCACAGATTATTACGGCCTATTAGGCCCAATGATATGGCCAGCATCTGTCAAATTATTAATCCACCAGATGGCTTACAGACGTCTCAACAATTCAACTTGGGGCGTTGAGATGACCGACGCACAAAAAATGCCGTAATTGGCACACCTAAGAATAACCCACAATATCGGGGCAAAGTTATAGCTGCAGGAAGAAAGACAATGTCAAAGCTGGAACTTCGAAGCGATTCGGGCAAAACGAGGATATTTTTTCCCTCACAACTTCGCAAAAAGATGGCTGGTCATAGTGCGTTATTCATACCCAAAATTCTTTCGCTCATGTATATCCAACTATCTCAGTGCAGTGAAAGTTGTCCGCAATGGAGCCACACCGTTGATTTGGGAAATTGCCGATGTGCGTCTTCGAATGTTTAGTATGCAGTGACCCGTCTGATGCTGGTGGAAGTTCAAGTTGATTGAATTTGGATTTATCGAAATTTCCCAAGCGTTATGACTTAAGTGGCTCCATTAATCCATAGCGTATGCCAATGAGATCGCTGAATATAGCCATGTCATCGTCCTTAGGAGAGCTCTTCCTGGGTAAAGAATAAAAGATGGGTCTTAGGGTAGAGAACACGAGCAAACATCCATAGACAAGAACAGCCGAGATTAAGGGAAGAATATCCTTGAATGTTTTCTCCTTATTCTTGTTATATGACCCCCAATAGAGACGGAGCACAGTACAAATATATGGCTGAGAAAGCGATCACCAATTCTAAAATGGATGTTTCCTAAGATGGATGTTCGAGCAACATGAGTCGCCGGCGTACAATGTACACAGTGTATTGCAAGCACGAATCCTACATATGGTACGACTTCACATGGAACTGGTGAACAGAAAGGATGCTGGAGGGGAATCTCGGCAGCAGTTAATATGTCGATGTTGTTGTAGGATAAAAGCCCCTCATCGTAATCACTCCACTAGTGCGGGGTTCAATTACGCCAGTCGAAAACTGCGCTCACAAGGTACATCGCCAAAGGTACATCGCCAAATTCTAGATTCATTTTACTTTCTAACAATTCAGTTACTTTGTATAACTCCTGTTTTACTATCGCTGGCCTTAGTTCATCACTAGCAAGCTATCATGTCCGGATTTCCCACTCTTAAGCCTGCCTTCACCGTTCGGGTGCGTGTGCTGACCATTACCAAGACTTGCCTCATGTTGTTAAATTCTGACTTGGAACTAGGTGAACATAGATGCTCCTCTAGCGGTTGGTGGGTCGTATTTCTGAGCCTTCAATACCAAAGAGCGGTAGACAACTAACTCTATGCATAGGCAGCGCCTCTCGATCCAACCCTCTGCAGGTTGTGGTATGTCAACCTATCCGTCACATCTCTACGTAACATGTATACAGGAGAGAATCTAATTATACTCTTTTGATGGACAAAAGCCTATGATCGGAGGTACCGTCAAGGGTGACTCTGGTTTCTCCCCCGCGCTCGACGCCGAATTCGTCGGAGTGGGCAATGACTACATCCACGCTGATGCCGATGGCAAGCACCTGCGATTGAACGCGCATGGAGTTCTTAAGTAGGCTTCTTCCATTTTTGCTCCTTCGCCATTTCCTTCATTCCCTGTCTTCCTATATCCAGAATTGTGTTCTAACTATCGTCGTTATCCAGGACCAAGGATGATGCTGTAGGTTATTCTAATATGCACGCACAAGAACATGGGGATAGAAAACAAGACGCTCAATAACTGTTCCAACAGCTCCTTTACTTGAACTACACCGGTGTCGTCACCCTCACCCCCACAGAGCAGGCGGTCTTCGCCGGTACCGCCCCAGAGGGCTCAACGCCTTTCGGCAATCTCTGTGAGTACATCACCGGCCCATCTATGCCAGAGCCATGTCTAACAGTAGCACTAGTCACCCATTTTACCTTCGAGGCAAGACAATGCCCTATCCGTACACCCAAAGGCAATACCATATTAATATAAAAACAGACCGGCGACGAGCGCTACAAGGACCTCGAGAATCGTGTTTTCGTCGGCCAGGGACGCTTCAACATCGAGAGCGGCAAGCCGGTCGTCGAGTACAGAGTCAGCCAGGTTCTCCATGGCTAAGTCAGTTTCTTTCGCATTATTTTATACAATTGTCCCGGTATAACGAACGTCAATCGATGTACCCACTCCAAGCGAAATGTTAAACATACTCTCGATTTCCACAGAGACTATTTTCGTAGACTGGATTACAAAGTAGTAATGCAATGGCTTACTACATGCATACCAAGCATTCAATCTCCATCCAACAACGGTGTCCTCTCAGAGTTCCTATTCCGGTTCCCTTCCACATCCCCCGCCGTACGGACTCCGCGCCGACGGAAAACCCCTCGCCCTGTCCATGCACTCCAATCCGTATACCCACCCCCAAGTTTGCCCTGTCCCCAGGACCGCCTCAGTCTCTTTGCAGCCCATAACACGAAATACCCCAATGCAATAGTAGCCAATGTCCCCAGAACAGAAACTACGGCTGTTAAGAATGTAAAGGTACTAACATTGCACCCGAATGGCATAGCGCGGAGTTCCCATCGCTCCTTGGACCCCAAAGGACAGATATTTGATGAGCTAAGAGGAGCCAAGATAGGGAAGCGAGTGGGATTGGGCACGCAGGTTGAAGTCTGTTAGGTTGACTTTTAGACATATACTAACTAAACGTATGCATTGTTGAAGCGGAATAGAGAATATACAAAGAGGGCAGAGGCTATGTTTAAGACACACACACACACACACACACACAGAGAGAGAGAGAGAGAGAGAGAGAGAGAGAGAGGGTGTGTGTGTGTGTGTGTGTGTGTGTGTGTGTGTGTGTGTGTGCGTGTGTGCGTGTGGAAAAGGCGATGTTAACGTACCACTGAACACCAGCTACAAGGGGCATCGCCTTGCAAACACCATCCGCAAGATTGTCTGCGCCAGCAGAGGTAAAAGAGCGGATCGTTTGTTTGGAGAGGGTATGACGTATTCAGGTCCATGGCCCGGATTGTGGTTGAGTTTCGGGGCTCGAAGGGGGGATGGAACGATTGATTGTAGACTGTAATATGTGTGCTTCGTTCATGCCCTGAAAATGAGGGTAGGAGGCATTCTAGGCTACCGGCATTACGAGGTTTGATATCGCATGATAATTTTGATGGGTGTGGGGGGCGGCTGCGGGTTAAGGTTAGGTTACATACCATTTATACTAGAGATCAGAGGTACCTTTCGTAAGAATGAGGTTTAGTCCAAGTTCAGTAGCTTAAATAGTGGTACTTTACGGGACCGCCCGATTGGCTTCGTCTTGGAGTCCAAAGCTGTAGAGAACTGGAAGTGTGTAGATAGGTATCACTTCTTCAACTGAATAGAACTGATTGTAGATGACTAAAATATACTCGTGACTGTGCACATAAATTCATATATTTGACCTCGTCACTACGACATACCCGAAGTCTTTGATTTTGATATAGGACACGCTCCATCGCACAAATGCCTGGAAAACCCCTATGGAATGCCCGGAAACATAAATTAAACCACACGTTTGACCTGTCGGATCACAGTCAGTCATCGCCCAGAAAAAGGGGTCCAAGGGGGAAAGACAGGCAAACGGAAACGAGGAGCTCGTGTCCCATATAACTCACTTCAAAAAATCTCTTCAACCACCACACCTGGAAGATGCCCTCTCCGATAAGCACCGCAAGCTGGAACATACTCCACCACTTCACTCTAGCATTTGTGCTCTCGGCGGTGTTCCGGTGTACCCGCTCTCTCACCACAATATAAGACTGCTCATCCTTAACCTGGGCCAATGCCTCCGAAAGACGGCGAACTATTGAGCGGGAAACGATTAGCTGCTGGAGCGTCTCGAGCGCAAGTTGTGCTTTCATCCATACCTTCCACTTCCAAAGGATCCTGGGGCATTTCCGATTCGGGGACGTAGACAATTCCATGAACATTGAAGGATACCTCCTTAGAGTTCGAAGTCCATCCCTCGTTGCTGAAGCAGTAGACATATTTACCGTCCGCATGAGCAACAAACGAGTAATCCTCGGAGGAGATAGCTTGTTTATAGTACTGGCGGTTGTTCAAGGGGTCCTCAACCTAGGGACAATAAAAGGAAAACGTCAGCGCTCAGTTCAATCAGCTCCAATCAGTCCATATATCCGGTTGTCGATTCTTTTTGAATGAGAGCCGGCATTGGCCGAGGCCCAATCCGCATTCCGAAAGAGCATAATAAGAGGGAAGAGCCGTACCCAGAAGTCGATCTCCAGATTGCCACTGCCTCCGAATTCCCGATCACCGACTTGAAAGCTGACCGTCATTTTGTCATCTTTGTGCAGCGATTCGTGGTAGCATTCTCTCGAGTGAGCCTTAAGCTGGATGGTGTGTGCGGTCACAGCGGTGATCCACCCCAGCGCGGTGATCAGGAGGGTTGTTGCGGAAAATCGCATGGTGGGAGTGTGGTTCCTTGCCTGCAATCGTAGTTTTCGACTGAGGGAATAATAATGAACCTTCGAAGAAAAGTAGGTTGAGGTGTGGTGGTGAACGATTGCGGCCTGACAGTCGATATTCCCGACGACGCGCAAGGTGGTCTTCTCTCATTCCGTTTGGGAAATTGGAGGCGCTCGGACCACCTAAGAACGGTGTCTGGCCTCAGGTGTCAGATTGTGAAGCTTATGCTAACCATACAAACAAGCAATCAATGAAGCAATTTCTATGAATGATTGGCTAGGTATTGTTATATTAGGACAACGACGAGGATTACTCAGTCTATGCAAAGGTTGCTCGTTCAAGTAGTAATTTGTTTCTAATGATATATCTAAACCGTCACACTAGACGCTTTTCAATGATATTGAATTATCATTGGGACATATAGTTGCACTTCCACAGCATACGGAGTATTGTCCGCCTTAAATTCAAACCCCACCCCCCCCATCATGCCTGTGGCCCTCGTCCCTTCATGTTTCCTCGCCATGCCCTCATACATAAATCCACAACAGACATATCAGTCATCCCATAATCTATTTATAAAATCGTCTCTCTGAGTGACCATAAAGTGTCTGGCTCCCACGAAAGACTACTATGCCTGTACTTATAGTGGACGGTGAACGTTATCGAGTACCATTCATGCCATTCTCCAGAGGCTACAAAACCACCAATGAAAGGTGGCTCACCTATGAAGCTAAAATTGTGAGAAGCATTATTTTGAATTTTACATGGAGAAAAAAAATCTGAGCTCAACACTTTTCATATGCTAACAGCGATATATGCAGCGTGTGAAAGCTACACCCGAAGCTCCTAGAAACACCGGGTGGTCTGCTCAAGATGATATGACCCTTCAGGACCTTAGAAACTGCAATACCCCATGGAAGTATATATCTGCTGCGATGAATAATAAGCCCGTCGAAGATCTCAAAGAGCGATGGTTGAATCTGCGAGAGGGCATCACGCGAGAGATCGTTACAAAACCGATAAGGTATACTAATGAGATGCATTTCATCGGTGAACTGCCGGAAGGTCGGAAAGTTGAGCGGAATGTGTCTTTCTCAGATCCATTGGCCACGAATGACAATGTCAGTACATTCAATCTACGAGTCTAGCTTGGCTACTGGTTTCCTCTGTTTTCTGACAGGTCATCCCGGTAGACTGATGACCATCTTATTGACTCTCGACCATCAAAAGTCAAATATGTGCTTTATACCGATGAAAATTTTGATTTGGAGGATGTGCTGCTTCTACATACAATTGCTGCCAAATGGGAAAGAGATAAATGGTTGGCTGTTAGTACCCATTTCAATGACAGGACCGGGCGCAGTATTACCCCAGACGAGGCCAAATCGGTGATTGACCCTGGAGGAGTCTGGGATACCCATTGTTATTGGAGAACCTAAATCAACCTTGATTTTTGAAGACCCGTGCCGGGGGTTTTCGGCAACTGGAAATACCATGAGTTCGGCTCATGGAATGCTTGATGACTCGAGTATTTGCCCGGAATAGGTAGGTTAGGTGGATGTGTCAAATTAAGAATGTGAACGTCGTTGCGTGATCCTTTTTTTTTTTTTTTTATCTTATTTTTCGGGCCTTCTGGTTCTCGATGCGCCATTGACTCTACCCGCAGCTTCCTTACCAAAGGTTCGGGTGGATTAGGAATTCGCGTTCAAGGGTCTGTTTGTGACATCATGACGTCGGTCAACGAGTGCCAGTTAGGGATGAGTAGGTAGCCACACATTTGGACCGGGGTTTCCATAATACTTTCCCATGTTTCTTGAGAGAGACGGCGAAGGCCGAGAACAAACAGGATGAAGCATCCGCATCCGACCTGATGAAAAAATCATTCGATAACGCCACACGATGAGTGAGACTCGGGCTTTGGTCGGTACCGATTCGGGACGCCAAAATTGATGCTGTAAGGAGCAGTATGATTATTAACAGTAGTACGGGAGTACCTAAAGGCAATCTGAGTCGGTCATGGTATATTATGTCTACAGCGGACAGCAAGTTGATAGCGAACTTGATTCCAGACCCTGAAACCCTGCAGACCCCAAGTCAGTAACAGTAGTACTCCGTACTCCGTAGTACTAATCGCTGTGGGCCAGGTCTTAACTGCCTCAAGTTTAGTGGAGGTTTCAGTCAAGAACCCAAGAATAGCTTCGGCTTATAGGGATCGCCGGGTCACTTTGCGTCTACGTACCACTAAGCAATAAGGGAAGCGTTGTCCGACAACAGGGACGGCTGGTGGGGACCCCAAGGGTCTGGAAGGGTTCGACTCTTTTCAATGCGCTTGTAGATTGGACGTTCTGGGTGGGCCCTGGCGCTAGTGGGCCAGCTAGAGCCTTTTCCTAATTTTATGATTGGCCAAGACACCGTTCTCTTTGATCGTTCACTTCCATTCACTCCGGGAGATTGGCTGTGACTGTGTGTGCTTCAGGAGGCAATTCTTACCCAATCCAACTCCACACATTCTTTCCTTGACGTACAGCTTCTATTCTTATATATTTCTCAGTCGATCCTTCCTACCCTCCTTCCCTTTCCCTATATTGTTGTTGTTATTTTGGTCTCATTCCAATTACTTTCTTTTTTCTTTGTTTGTACTCGTGCAGACCTCCTTTTCTTCTCTCTTTTCTCTCGGTACAAATACCGTAGGCAGAGGGCATTTATTCCCTTCTCCTTTGCGTTCTCTACTCGTAACCCATCCTTTCTTTTATTGACCGAGCGACTACGTCTCCGAAAATGCGTGCCGCTGGCCTTCTTTCTCTTTTACTCGCAGCGATTCCCGCTGTTACCGCGGAGCGGGGTACCCTCGGTCTCGCCCTGGGTAACAAGAATCCTGACGGCACCTGCAAGTCCACTAGCGACTATGAGGCCGACTTTGACGCGCTCAAGGACCTGACTACCCTCGTCCGCACATACTCCGCCAAGGATTGCAACACCGCTGTGAATATCGTTCCTGCAGCCAAGAACAAGCAGTTCAAGGTCGTGTTGGGTGTTTGGTAGGTTACACATGATATAGTCGCTGGGGTCCCCGGGTATTAACGCCGTTGTTTCGTTAGGGCCGATTATGACGAATCCTTCAACAATGACTTGAATGTCTTGAAGCAGACTATTCCCGGAAATGAAGGTGTTATTCATTCCATCACTGTCGGTTCTGAAACTCTTTACCGCAAAGGCCTTACTGCCCAGCAGCTCCTGGACAAGATTCGTACTGTCCAGAATGCGTTCCCCAAGATAACCGTTGGCACGGTGGATAGCTGGAATATTTTCAACGATGGTACTGCCGATCCCATTATCCAGGGAGGTGTCACTTACTTGTACGTTGTCTAAAATCGGTGTCGTTTCATATTTTCTACCCTAACTAACCTCCTCATAGCTTGGCCAATGGCTTCGCCTATTGGCAAGGAACGGACATCGACCATGCCACCGGGACTTATTGGAATGACACGATGCTTGCGAAGAAGCATATTGAGAAAATTGCTGGCGACAACAAGGACAAGATTATCTTCGGAAACGGCGAGACTGGTTGGCCCACCGATGGCGGTTCTGACTATGGAGCTGCCAAGGCTGGCACTCAGAATGCTGAAAGGTACTGGAAGGACGCTGTCTGCGCTATGCTTAAATGGGGCGTCGATGTTTTCTACTTTGAGGCTTTCGACGAATCCTGGAAGCCCACGAGCATTGGTGACAACGGCGAGGAGAAGGACGAGACCCACTGGGGTCTTTTCACTGCCGACCGCAAGGCCAAGTTTGACTTGACTTGCCCCTAATTAAACACACTTTCATTCTTTCTGGCCTCGACGGGGTGTCCGGCCGCCCTCGTTCACTTTGAGATTCTCCTGTATCATATATTCAAGCCCTACCTCAACAGGTGAGGAACATGAACGCGCATATTTACGCCAATATCTGTGCATTTTTTTGGAGCACTATTTTACTATGAATCATGTAAAAGCAAAAGTATCTGGTATAACTTCAACTGTAACAATAGTTCTATGAGAGTACTGAGTAACCTGGTCCTTGCTTTATCAGCCCAACAATATGGATACCCTATTAAAGCTGCCAAAACCGTAAGACCACGTGAAAGGTGGTACTTGCTTACATAATCAATACTACGTAGTTAACGTAACTGGTAAGCGAGCGACGCAGCTCTGTATTCCATACAAATCCGCCCTTTTTGCTACTTTTATATCTCAGCAACCAGAGAGCAAAGATATAATATTTTCTATATAATATGTTATAGGGTAAATAAGGCTAAAAATATTTTTCTCCAATTTTTTTTATTCTTAGTCTTACACTGTCCAATAGAAATATCAAAGATGCAGGTGTAATATTTAATACTGAAAGAAGTATCGCTTATATAAACTTTTCTACTTTAAACATCAAAGATAAATTACTATTATATATTATCTTTAAATATTATCTTACTATAACCTGTGGTTGCTGGGATATTCCAGTAGTAAAAAGGGCTGAATTGTATAGAATATAGAGCTGCGTCGCCAGCTTACATGCGTCGCTCGCTTACCAGTTACGTTAACTATGACTAGTTATACCTCCAGTGATACCGAGCAGGTATCTGTGTACTGGTATGGTATGTATGGTAATGACTTGACCGAGAGAACCGTGGTTTCCGCGGTCCATGGTGGAATTTACCCCTGAATGGAGGACACGAACCAAAGAGATGTGTTTATTTGTTTATGGGGTCGAACATCACTCAGGGGCTGGCCTATTGCCTTTGCTGACAGTCTCTGTGGACTCTGTATGTTCCAGAAAAGATGCAACTCATATGGAGTACCTAGTAGTACCTACATCTGTAAGCAATAGCGAAGCAACCAACAGTATTTAGTAGATCCGAACTCCATACGTGTTTCCACAGGATAGTCGGATCACCCACCAACTTATCTCGGACTATTAGTTAGTGTCCATAGATAATCAGATGCCTTTCCAGGGAGAGTAAGAGGTTAGACTGACCACATACCGATCCTTGGTATGTGCATCATTGGGGTTGGTAGGAATGTATGAATGTATGTATGGATGGTTGGATGTACGGAGTATGGATGTATGTATCACCCACTTGGTACATACGTACAGCGCAGGCGTGTATTGTCGAGATGGCGGTCAAGTCAAATAGTACTACTACTAGTAGTAAGGCTAGTAAAGTAGTCACTTGAACCTCCGGTATATTCTGACTGTAAAATACTTTACTTTTCCCCAACGGCCCGGCTTTTTGAGGTCTCTCCGCCTATGATATTCTTCCTCGGCCGCTTTAAGTCTGAACGGGGAAGTTTAGTTCTTTTGGCTGATCGTGTCATGGTCTGAGTCCAAAGATTAGAACAAAAAAAAAAAAAAAGTAAGAGAACTGGTTATCATCTCTCTCGTCTTTCACCCTTCTTTCCCTTAGTTCCCGATTTCATTCTTTTCACAGTCCAACTTCGATCTAGCCGAGTCCTTCGTGTATGCGCCATGTCCAATATTTTCGCATACCCTAGGTTTCTGTGATCTGTTATTCATTCCTTCTTTTTAACCCCCTGAAGAGAATCCTCTCGCTCTACCCCAAAACACGTCTCACCGTCGCGGTTCGGCCTCCACCTTCAACTCCCCTCGTTGCCCTCGTACGTGTGCCGATCGGAGGTAATCTGCGAGGTGGATTCAGACTCGGTCGTTTAATTTCCATGCTTCAACATTCTGGGCGATAAGGAGAGCAGCAAGCAAGTGCTTGCTGCAGCAGTCGACACGGAAGGTGTGTGTTTGTGCATGTGGTCCCGTGGCTACATATTTGGAGTCCTCCTTATGGACAATTTCAATCGGCTTTCTAGCTGTTCTTTCCCTCTTCACCAATAGCACTGCATCAGGGACTAAATTGTCAAATGTTCAATGCCTCTAGATCTAGACCCGTCCGTATCTTCCGCCAATTCGGCGCATTCTCCGCCGTTGCATTCCACCGATTCCTCTCATCTGCGTGACGATTCCCTTTTGGCTGCTCCATTGACATCATCCTTCACATCGCCAGGTGCGTCGAGTCTCTCGACCACTGGTTCTCCTGGCCGTCGGAACTCCTTTAGAGGTACCAGCATAACTTCAAATCCGCCGTCCACTCTCCCCACGTTGCCGAAGTATCGGACTGCTTGGGATTCGTCCACTTCGTCCCCAGAGAACAGAAAAGCTGAAAGCAGCATCTACTATACGACAGCCTGGGGCTCCCCATATGCTGCACCTAGCCCTCGGAGACTCTCGTGGTCATTGAGTCAGCACGCCGGAATCGGCAGAGGCTCTAGAGATAGCTCCCCGACTTCGATGCGTAGTGGTATCTACAACGGGTCCGAAACGAATAACCCCGAATTGGTCTTAACGTCCGCCCCCGAAGACACGACTACCCAGCTGCACGACAGTATTCGCAACCGTTCCCCAGGACGAGATATATTTGGTAGAAGAGGAGGGAAGTCGATCAAAGATTTCACGCAGGATTGGATCAACCAATACCTCTCCGGCCAGCCAAGGACTGAACGCAGCAACTGGCTGAGCGACGACTCTGGCAGCGAGGCCCCATCGTTTTTTACAGCTCAAAATCATTTTGCAGACGACCTCTCTGACGACTGGCTTGGTTTCGAACAAGATAAGCGCGAAGAAGACTTACTTAGAACTCCAACGTTGGCCGACTTTGCGAACCGAAGAGCGGGAGCTGGTAACGGCGAAGGTAGCGCAGCTCGTCAGAGGACTAAAGAATATTTGCACAGGAGAGCGGAGACACTACGACAGGAAGATTTCTGGGGCTTCGCCTACGATAAAGATCCCCAACCCATCACTATGACGGATACTAAGGAGGCCCAGCTCCCCGCTGAACCGGGGGCCAAGGCGCCGCCTTCAGTTGAAAAGCCGCTTCCTCCTCCCCCAGCAGATGCATTGAACGAGAACCCTTTGGCTTTAGAAAGCACGACAAACGCGGAAGCCAAGGCTGTGAAGACACCAGTTTCAGACAAGCCTGTACAACGAATTAGAAAAAAAGTTGCTTGGCGCGGAAAAGCATGCTTCGTCGGGCTTCCACCGGAAGACAAGCGAGGCAGCGAAGAGTCTGGGTACCGGTTGTTGACAGCCGAAGATGTCAACAGGCGCCTAAAATCATGGGAGGAGAAAGGTTACGATGTGCGCGGATTTAGCGTCGGTGCATCAGAGGATTATCTGAATACAGAACTGGGCGGCCTTAGTCGTCCCACCTGGCCTGATGCTACTGAAGTCCAGGAAGAATGGAATTCCCGGAGCTATACCGTTTGCTTTCCCAATAAAGCCGTATGGGATGCATATGTAAACCACCTTCAGGAAGAGAAGTTACGAGCTCTGGGTGTATTTTTGGGTGACGATGAAGTACAACCTTCAGTTTCACCCGCATCGGCCGCTATGAGCCAGATGGCACCGTTCCCTGGTCTTGTCTCCTCACCACCAATCCCCACAGCGTCTGCGGCTAGTAACCCACTGTCGCTGTCTCACCCGTTCTCTCCCCAGTTGAGTCAATCCACAAATGCCCGCAATGGTATAGGTTCTTTGACTTCTCCTGCTTCGCAGTTTGGTGTACAGACACCCTTTCTGGGGGTTGATCAGAATCTTCTTCCGGGATATCATATTCCCTTCCAACCTACACCTCCTGCCCAGGGTACTTTGACCCCCCAGAGTTTCTTCAATGCACGCCAAGCAGGCGCGGCGTCTACCCTTGCTGGCACACTGCCAAATTTGACCTCTATATTATCACCGGTCTCTCCGTTGAATGAACAAAATGCGTTCCACCCTGGCCTGAACGAACAATCTGGACTACCGAAAGAAACATTTGGCGATCATATGGCTTATGACATGCAGGATAACATGACGGAAGGTCAGCTACTGCGTCCTATACGCACCCCTACCGAAAACCCGGATAACTTCCATGCCTCGACAGTTGAGATCGCCCACCCCACGCCTCGTGGCCATAGTCGTGGTCACAATCTGAGTGAGACACTTCAAAAAGGCCTTGACCAGTATGCGCAGTCTGAGTACCACTTGGAGGAGTCGATAAATAGACAATTGGATGAAGGTGACCGTGAACCTCACGGTTACAATGGTTCAGATATATTGAAGTCTCGGTGGGCTTTACCAGAGAATAACAACCACGACATTCAACATTTGCCTCAACATGTGCATCAATATTACGGTGGAGCATACCCTGGAGATAATGCACAGGAAGGCTCAGATATCGATACTAACCCCAGTCTTTCTGGCACACCTCATGGACCGCTTGCGAACCATATATCTTGGCATGAACCCAAAACCAGCGCTGGGTCATACGGCGGCGGGCACCGCTCGAAGCTTTCGTCTTCTACTTTGAATGTCGATGCGAAGGAATTTGACCCGACGGCGCCTTCTTCACAGGCCTTCCAATACCAGAATAATTCCTTCCAATTCCCGACGGCGGGCCATCCTATGTTTGCTTTTGGCTCTGGTGCGGGCTTCAAGCAACCGGCAGATTCTTTCAATGTGACCGCTCCTTCCTTCACGCCAGGCTCTTTCAACGTCGCTGCCCCGGTTTTCAACCCAACCAGTAGCCACTACTCGGCAGGCCCTGAACAGTCTTCGGGCGGCAGGACTAAGATCTTTGATGATGTCGACTTGTCCCAAACAGAGAAGCTTACCAAAAAGTCGAAAGCTATTCCCATTGTACGCCCGGATGACAACGAGGCTAACCATTACAATGAAGAAGAGGCAGAAAATGAAAATGGCCGGTCTGCTGCTTCTACAGATCGCCACAAACGTGCCCGCCGTAGTCTTGAGGGCCCTGATGGAGAAGCTCAGATTAGCGTGTCTCATGCTCTGTCAGAAAACATTAATGCTCAAGCAACCCAATCATCTAATACAACTCATGTATCTGCAGGGGGCAAGGAGAACACTTCGCCTGATAAGGACGGTGTCAATCCAGTGGAGAGGGAAGCCGTTCCAGCCCAAGACGGCAAACCACAGGAGCGAAAGGACACGCCTGTTAGTGAAGCGTCGACTTGGATGCCTTCTGATACGAAAGATGAGAGTGCAGACACACATGCAGAAGCATTAGAACAGAACCAGATGGCGACACCACAGCCCGGGCCGGAAGCAGTTGGTGACGAGAAAGCAGACTCGAAGCAATTACTAGTAGTCGAGGCAGGCACACCCTCTATTGGTCTCAAAGAGAAAGAGCAACCCATGCAGGAAACTACCGATACTCGATTGAACGTCTCAATGCTTTCGCCAGATGCAAAGCCATTCGAATTCAAACCAGCAGTGCCTGAGTTTGTCCCCGTTATGGTTGAACAGCCAAAAACAGCTCCTGACGACGTTGTCGAGAAAGGCGACATCATGGCTTCACAGAATGCTGTCGCAAGCTCACCAGCTGCACACGAGGAAGGCGTGGTGCGAGTTGAGTCGACGCAATCAGGAACCGGTCCAACGGATGATGAGCTGAGAACGGGCGCTCCTCAATCTGAACAAGACGTAGGACGTGAGTCTGAGGAGGAGTCTATGGATGATGAAGAATTGAATGCTGTTATGGAACAGTTGAATGAAGACTCGGATGTAGGAATCGAGAGGTTAAGCACACCTCACCCTACAAACCGATTCCCTGAATCGGTTCTAGGGCCGTCAAAAGAAAAGCGACATGTCCACGCAGAGATCAGAAGTGAAGCTCCGAGCCCCAGTCCAGGAAGGGGTCATATATCCCAAGCATTGAATGTGCCCAAACTTGACTTTGATGCCCAGTCCCAGTTCTCAGCTACCCCATCGAAGAACTTCGCCTCCGCTATGCACTCGCCCATTCGACAGTTGGTTAGCCGAAACGATCACATCAGTGACTGGGACGATGTTATCTCATCGGGCGAAGACGAGAAACTGGCAAACCGGAGCAGATTTTTCGATCGCCGCATTCATGAGCTTGTCGGCTCTGTTGTTGAGGAGCGCCTCTCTCCGCTTGAGCGTGCATTGATAGCTATTGAGAACTCCATCTCTACCATGACCTTCGGAGGATCTCAGAACAAATGGTCATGGAGTGCCTCTGTCGAGGGTGAGGAAAGTGATGCCGACGATGAAGAAGAATATGAGGAGGACGCATCCTACAGAGATAGGTCTCCCGTTCGCCAGAGAGGTCGAAAGCTTGATAAATTAAAGAATGTGATCCTTGAAGCATTAGCGAGTCGTGACGCTCAGCATGCAACAGAGAAGCCTGTCAATTCCGAATTCGCGCAACTTCAACAAAGTGTTACAGACCTACAGGCTTTGACATTGAAGAAACTCTCTCAAGACTCTACAACCGATCTGAGAGAAATGATCGAAGAGGTTGTCTCAGCCCAATTTAGCCAGCAGAAGCCTCGCGCCTCTGAAGCCGAGGAGATCGGGGCTGATAGCCTCATGCTTCAGATTGATGGCCTGAAAGAAATGCTAAGGGTAAGCGATGAGCGTGCTGAGGAGGAGTACAAGAAGCGTAGAGAAGCGCAGGACTCTGTTGTAGAGCTTCAACATCTCCTGAAGGTTTCTGAGGACAATGCTGCTCGCCATAGTGAGGCTGCCGAATCTGCTGAAACTCGCCTGCTCCAGTTCAAGGAAGAAAAGATCCCTTATTTCGAGCAGGTCCAGTCAAGATCCGATGCACTTGAGCAAGAACATGCAAAACTCAAATTAACTCTAGCCGAAATTTCTTCGAAGAACATCTCCCTCGAAGGTACCTTGGACGAATACAGATTCTCTAGTGATCACTGGAAGCAGGAGAGCGAACAGTCAAAGGCCCAGATCGAAGAAATGAAAACTGAAAACAAGGAACTACGTGTCACTATCGATCATATGAAGTCGCGGATCGAAGATGGATTGAGTGTACGACAAAATCTAAGCGAAAAGTTCGACCGCCTTCAAGACGAGATGGCGACTGTGACTCGAGACATCACCCGTGACCAAGCTTCCTGGCGCAGACGGCAAGAAGAGCAAGTGGCCAGGTATAACGAACTTCAGGCTGCTTACAACCGTGAAGTGAAACTTCGTGAGAAACTTGAGGTTGATATCAACGAGCTCGAACAGCAGGAGCGAGAAGCGGCGAAGCTGAAGTTCATCTTTGGTCAGTCTCAACAAGAGAATGCCAGGTTGGAAGAGCTAGTGGCAAACCTCAGAATTGAGAACCACGACCTAGAGATAAAGGCGGCTCGCTTTGAGCGCGAGTTTAACGAGGCACGGGAGAGCAGTAGGGTTGAAATCCAGCGTACCAGATCTTCGTTGGAGACAGATGTTGAGGCTGCTAACAGCCAGGTCAACATTGTCCGTGCGGAACTAGAAGCACAAATCCTGCGCCTCCAGGGTCAACTGGATAGTGTTAGGCTCGATAGTGATACTGCACAACAGCGCTATGAGATGCTGCTGGAGGAGGCCAATGAAACCAAGGCCAGTGCTGTGACCTCGATGACTAACACCCACGAGCTTGCTATGGAGGAGCAGCGCAAACTGCATGAGCGCGTCCTCAATGATCTTCGCGAGCGCCATGCCCGCGCCTTGCACAATGCATCTGAGGATAGACAGCGCGCAGAATCTCATTTGACGGAACGCTTGGAACTGTCGGAAGATAAAGCTAAGCACCTTCAGGATCGTGTCAATCATCTAGAAGAGAGACTCGAAATCGCTCAGTCCGCTGCTCGTGCTGCCGCTGAAGCCGCCCAGGCAGCCAAGGCAGCTCCTGTGGCCTCGTCTTCAGCACACTCTACATCCCCATCCTTATCATTCAGCCAGGGAACTATGGTTCCTGAGAAGATCTCTCCCCAGGCCTTACGTGAGTCAATTCTTGTCCTACAGGACCAACTGCAGCAGCGCGAAACCCGCATCGAGGAACTGGAGCAAGAGGTTGCTTCTTTCGACAAGGATGCACCGAATAAGCTCAAAGAGAAGGATACAGAAATCACCTGGCTACGTGAGCTTCTTGGAGTCCGCATCGACGATCTACAGGATATCATCAGGACTTTGTCACAGCCATCGTTTGATCACAACACTGTACGTGATGCCGCTATCCGTTTGAAGGCCAATCTGCAAATGCAGCAGCAAGAAAAGGAGAGGGCCCTGTCGGGACAGAGTTTCCCCAGCTTCCCTTCCCTTTCCGAGTTGACTGCTTCACCGCGCTCTTTACCTCTCGCTGCCGCTGCCGCATGGGGCAACTGGCGCAGGGGGAAAGAAACCCCGAATCCCGGCACCTCTGAACAAACGCCGTCCAAGCCGAGTAATGCAACTGCTTTCCTATCCGGACTTTTGACTCCTCCTGGTTCTAACGTCCGACAAGCCACTTCAAACCCGACTGCTCCTGCTACAGGAGGTTGGAGACGACCATCAGAGAGTCGCCCCCTCAGAAGCTTTGATACTACCCCAAGACAAACGTCAGCACGTGCGAGCAGAATGCAAGAACTACCAAGAACTCCCCCTCTGCTGCGAAGGTCAAGCTATGACCATGATGCCGAGCCTACCGACTATGGAGAGGGCTCTTGGGCAGAAGAAAACGAAAGCACGGCTGATGGTCTCGTCTCCGCGTCACCTAGGGAGACCGGCGATGGTCCATTTGGACCGCAGATAACGTCTTAGATTGTTTAGATCTCTTTTCTATCCCTCACCCTGGATTGATAGCTAATTAGGACTTCATTCCAGGCCAGTATTTTTACTTGTGACATTATGCTGCATACTAGCTTGCTCTCTTTTAATATTTTGCGTTGTGTGTATTCGCGATTAAGCTTCTCTTATTTCTAATGGCAGTGGGATTACGATCTTTTTCTTTCGCTTCCATGCCTCTTTTTCCATTTTGGTCTCTGTCTTTCCTCCTCTGATACCAATACCATCTGTATGAGTTTGCGGCAATCTTTTGTACAATTCTTTGACTTCTAAATGTTTATAGTGGAGTTGACCTCTCGCTCGTTATCTTAACACTTTCACAACCTTCGTTTCCATTTGCCCGATAGTGACATGTTTGCCTTGCGAGTCACGTTCCTACACAAGATATTCCAAGCATATGCATCTGTTTACCCTTTCCCCTCCATGTGGTCCATTTTGCTACCAGCCTTGGCTGTTAGTGTATGTAGATACTCGTTATTAATTAATTGAACATACAGTAATAACACAAGGTTGAGGTTGCACGAACCGTTCGTAAAGTATTCCCTAATCTATCAAATTATAACTTATACAAGTGAGCATTAGGATACCATTCTGTCCAGATCTATCCCATTAAATATAATCGCATGAAACACCAATCTATCCGAATAAAAAGAACCCGAAAAAGGAAAGCAAAGGAAACGATCTCTCAGACTCGTAACAACCTAAGAACTCATCCGCCACTCCAGAACCTGTCCGCCTGAACGCGCGGTAACGGTATATGCACAACTCTTCAAATAGACAACACCATCGTCTTGGGTTGACCGTTTCACTTCAAGACTGTCAATATCAACAGGCACTTTGTCAAGAAGGAATGGCCAAGAGGGAACGATGTCCGGGGGCGGATATCTGGCATCGGCGCTGAATTTGTCGTCGGGGCTATTAGCCCGCTGATGAGGGAGGGAGGTCTTCTGGGTTGGCTGTTTGAATCTCTGCGGACCCGGTTGGTATACGGGGTGGCAGTTTTCGAGACAGTATAAGTATAATGAGCCGCCGGAGACAATGGCAGGGGAGTAGTTGCCGCTTGGTTCGTAGAGGGCGAGGATTTTGTGGTCGGTGGAGATGGATAGGAGAGGGGATGGGAAGGTTGCGGATGGGAGGTTGGCTGCGTTCCACCGGGGAACTTTGTCGAGGAGGTTATATGTTATGTGTTGCTCGTCGCAGCGGCTGGCTGGGAGGCGTGGGTTGAGTGGCGGGAGTTCTTCAGTGCGGGTGCCTGTGATGCCATCTCCTGGGCGGAAATAGGCGGATGGGAGGAGTCGGTGTACCTTCACTGTTTGGGGGGAGTTGGATGTGAGGGGGGTTGCGAGGCCGATGCAGTAGCTGTGGATGACGCCTGATTGTAGTGATGCGACAAAATAGCGTGACGTTAGAGGAGACGTTTGCTGGTCTTCTTGTTCTTGCTGCTGAGTTGCGAGGAATGATGGGGGGAGGAGTCGTAGGCCTCGGAAGATCAGTCGGTATTCGTCCTGTCCTGCGAGCGCCACTGATAAAGATGACGAGTCGAGGTAGATCCGGTTGATGTTTGCTTGCCAGTAGTTGAGGTCGGGTAGGTTGTGTGCGAGGTCTGGGCAGCCCAAGTACCGCACTCGGGTGGGCTGGTGAATAGTTGTTTCTTTGTTGATAGAGACACGGAGGAGAGTGTCGTTGTCGGCAAACTCTAGGGAATCAACGACGCCGTCTGTGTCCTCGTAATGGCCTCGTGTGGTGCTGGCTAAGGAGTTATCCTGGCCTAGTACATATTCTGCAGGAGAGAGAAGATTTTCATCCTTGCGAAGGCTGTAGATTTGGATGGTTCTCCCCAGCCCTACGGCGATAAAGTCCCCTTGAGAGGAGAAAGCAATACTTTGTTTTGCGTATCGCTGATTGATGGACATGCAGCCTGCGGTTCCCCCTTCTAGCATGGCACGGACGACAGAGGTCCACTGCGAGCAAAGTGTTATACTGCGGGAGTATTCCCATGGATTTGTCAGGTTTACACGCTCGTATACGGTCGCCCGCCCTCCTTTCAGGCTCACCAGTTTCCGTCCATCAGCTGAGGTGCCCACCACAGTGGTAGGGGAGCATTCCTGGGGGAGATCCCGTTGGGTCACTGACTTCTGAATATCCTGTCGGCAGTGTAGTAGATTCAAGCGGGTGATCTGCGCGAAGTATGCGGTCCATTGATCTTGAGTCAAGGTGTTTATCGTTGGAGGCAATGAGACCGGGACTTGCTGTAGAGCTTTCCTGAACATGTATGGTGTTGACGCCGCACAACGCCAGGAGCGACACGTCTGCCGTGCGGCAATATATGTTTCCACATCGAGGTGGAGAAGGATGGACTGGACAATCTCTAAAGGGAGATACGCAGCCATTGCTTGCGAGATATGATGAGGAAGAGGAAGAATCACGTATCTATACTGAAAGATATAATAAAACTGAGACTGCTCAGCAGTGATGGATGATGATAGGTAAAGTGTATATAGCTCATTATTATTCTACCCCTATGGTTTACTTTCGCCGGTGAGAAGGCGCCGAATATAAAGACGAGTCAAATGTAGTGATAGCTGTCAAGGATGCACCTCAATAAAGGATCGGCATCTGATGCGTGAACGTATGATTCATTTTAAGATAAAACCAGGATGTCATCCATATGTATCGCGGTATCGATATCAAGTTAGTGCAAGTGACGGACGAATGATAGACTCGGCAGTCCCGTAGTTGCGTGATGGTGGGCCGATCGGAACTGGTGATAAACCAAATATAATTCCCGGCAGCGAAGAAAACCTGCCGTGATCCGAAAGCCGTGTACACGAAACTCAACCTTATAACAACGATCATTAAGAGACCGCTTGGTTTGGTTGCCAACACCGCCACAGTTAATGTTGTACAATAGAACCCGTGTTCACCCTCTTCAAACGCCATGCGAGAATTGGCGGTATGGCTAGTAGGCTACACATAATCCCAGTTTTTAGATCCTGGACATGACGGAGAGTGCCTCAATTGGTCAGCGTACGCAAACAGTGACAACCGTTCGCACCGTGTAATCCGGCTAGACACGAATATCCGACTATTTTTCGTTGACCGCATATTTATCAGATTCCCATCAGCCTCACTAAGGCCCTGAGCCGGAGGTCTGGCGGTGATGCTTCGGTCGGCTTCGGGGTTATGTCGGGGCTTATCGACTAATCGTGCGACATTTAATATTGCACACTTCCATTCATCCATCGGTAAGTTTCAAGAATGGACAACTCGCAATGAGCCCCTAGCCGGATTCCGCTGCGCCGACAGGAACTATATCCGATCATAGCTTTCTCATATGATAATGTTCTTCTCTCGCTTGTATAAGTCTTTCAGAAGTTTCAGCTGATTAACGCCCATACTCTGACGAGGAACGCTGTTTGGTAAATCAACTATGGCCTTCCTCATCAAAGCCAGGCCAATATGGCCAAAGAAGCCGACGATCCTTTCCGCAGAAGATTTGAGCATGGCCGAAAGCAGGATAACGTGTGTCTCCTGAATCTCGCTCGGGGGAATCATCAAAATCCTATGCATCGCAAGCCAAAACATGTGGTTGGGAAATGGATTCTTCCGTGGGGTTTTTCCAAAATTGCGCAGAGTTAGTGCCGCAAACCCAGCACCAAGGGCTGTCATTCGGTCCATATGGCCTTGTTCACTGATGAAAGGACCTCCTGGTGCTTCTCGCCACCATCCTAAGGCACGCCTACCGGCTTCGGTCTTTTCGCTGCCGTAGAATCCCCAGAGTGCAGGGCAGACGACGCGATACTTGGCCCAGAGTATGTCAATCATATGATGACCTTTATAAACAAAGGCGTCCGTTGAGAAGATCTGCGCAGCTACAATGCCAACTGGTTCTGCGTGGCCGGGATTGATAGAAGCTTCCGCGATCAGAGACGAGATTAAAGATTTCGAGAATATATTCAGGGCGTAGATTAACAGAGCCGGCACCTTGTTGTCTTCGGAATTGGCAATGTCTTCTGGCGGAAAGGCCATGAATTGTCGGATATCAACAGATGGTTCGGGGATAGAAGCGGCTTTCTCGAGGGTCGCGCGAATTTCTTGAAGCTAGAAGAAATGATTTGGTTAGCTTACCAGTCTCTCCTGCACTTTCCCTCCTTTGCGAACAAACGTACCTGGCCCTTGTTAGTCCCCTTTCCTTCTCGTAGCTGGCCAACACATTTCTTGATCGATCGACGCATGTCACCCATGTTCTGTTTGACCACCGCGTTGGATTTTCCTTCATCCTTCAGGTATTGTCTAAACTTCTTGAGATGCTGGTGCAGCTCGACATAGCGTGCTTGCACATTGATCTCTTCCTCCGTCAGTCGCGCCCCACCGACCTTCTTCTGCTGCTCTTCCCGTGATTTTTGTGCAGCTTCAGCCTTCAGCCTTGCCGCTTCTTGCTCCGCTTTCTGTGCCTCTGCTTGACGCTTGCGGTTCTCTTCCTCCAATCGTTCCCGCTCTTTCCGTTCCTGTTCCTCTTGCGCTACCCGTCGTTGCCTTTCCACCTCTGCTTCGGCCTTCTTTCTGGCTTCTTCTGCCGCCTTTCGCTCAGCCTCTTGGCGTGCAGCTTCTTCCTGCTCGCGGCGTAGCCTTTCCGCTTTCTCACGCTCGATGCGCTCCGCCTCCCTGCGGGCTTCTGCCTCCTTGCGGCGATTCTCCTCCTCTACCGCTCGCTGATGCACTCGCAAAGTTTCTTCGGCTTCTTCCAGCACTTGGTCATGTAGTTTGGCAACTTTATCGAGGGCTTCATTGTGTTGGGCTTCTAGTTCACTATCGATCCGATCAAGAGACTCGTAGAAGGATCGGCGTTCATAGGCTTTGACTTTCTTCATTTCGGTATTGTGAACGCGGAGTTGCTCTAGATCACGAGCCAAATCTAGCACGAGTTGCCGGGACGGACTGTCCAGTTCTTGAGGGTAACTTAAGCGCCCCATCTCGCAGACTGTGCACGTGGTAGGAAAGCTTTTTTTATAAAAGGGTTGTGGATCCCGAAATAGCTTTCCAGGGCTAGGGAAAGGATCAAAAGTGTCAAGGGAGGCTCCAAAAGAATTCCCTACAGAAGACGTCCAACCAATTTTGCAATGTAAGTTTTAGAACATAGCTTGTACACAGTGAGCAGAAGAAATCTCAATTCGGTATCCAATGACTCTGGACTCAATCGGATATACTTATATTCCGAGCAATTGGACCGTCACGTTTTATGGAGCCGTCAGTCTCATATGACAAAGGGACTCGCGCAGTAGTTATAACAACAATCAATGGCAGGGAGTCGATGCGGTTAGCCCGATGTCTCCGATAAAATGGGGGCAGGCCTCGAACTTCAAGTCACCGAGTGCGCTACCCGAAGATCCTTGTAAACGATTGGAAAATCGAGGTGAACACTCCCGCGATATGCGGGATGAGGATATACAGAAACCGGAAAGGAGTGTGACCACGGAATAACTGTCAACAAACAGCCTCACGAGGGAATTTAATAAGTCTCCGATGGTATTGGCTGTACGGAGTACGCGACCTTTGTTTGCAGTCGAATGCTTCGTCAAATCAAATGTGACTTAGTCATAATTTTGGAATGAACCACATGATGATTAGTCAGCACGGGAGAAAATACACATTTGGCCGTCATGGGTAGCCGTACGTAGGCGTTGAAGGTGCCTTAGAATCTAGGAGCTGAAGACCGCCAAACACATCAAACCAACAGCCTCATCGTCACCATCATTGGACCAGTACTCGAATGATTGTCCATTAGTTCGGCCCCCCGTTCCTCGGTTTGAAGGGCGGGAATGGGGCCCTTTGCATCATCATGAACACCACGAGCGTTATTGAAGAAAGTAAGCTTCAAGAAGTCAAGCCATGCGCTCGGTCAGTTGACCAAGAACTTTCGCCATCCGATCAGAGACATCTTCGCCTTCAGGTTTCGGTGTTAGATTGAACATTAATCTGTCTCTCACAATACCAACAACGGAAAAACACACAGGGTACCACACTTGTCCAATCTCAGTCTTATCCGGAGCCCCGCCAATAGCTATTATGGGTCTTTTGGAACCAAGAAGGAGGCAATCATTGGGCCGGTCGCAGTGTAGGCAAGGATTATCAGTACCGATGGATACAAACTATACCCGCATGAACTTTCTGGTAGGCCGGTACTAAGGTAATACCCCGATACAGGCTTTGCTAGGCTGTTCTGAGGTTAGTGAGCAAAGGCCGGAGATCACCCAATGTACCCTACCCTAGTTATATTCTATGAATAGGTAATACAACGATCTCCTGACTTGACTTGGAAGAAGATGCACCTAAGCGGCTCGTTGTAAGGGGAGAATTTTAATTTTAGAAGGATGAGAATAGTTATGCTTAAATGTTCTCTTATTCCCCATGTGCTATGTTTTTTCGGGTATATAAAATACCAGTTTTCCTCCAGGTTCAATTTGTTATAAAGGGACTCTGCAGAGGGGAAAAAAAAGGAAAAAGAAAAAGAAAAGGAAAAAGAAAAGGAAAAGGAAAAGGAAAAGGAAAGAAAAGAACAGAACAGATCCAGCGACAGGAGCGAAACCAAGATACAACCACTTCTGAACCATTGGACAGACCTTATGTATTGCAGTTCTGGTAACTTTTGTCTTAATACCTAATGACAAGCTAAAGCAGGTAGCTCACGTCTACTACTAGTTCTCTCTTTTTTGCCTCCTACCCTTATCATCCATTGTAACCAACAATTGTGATGGGGAAGCTCGTTAAACAAATAGACCAGACAGAAAAGAGAAAACAAAAAGTATCCTTCTTTCCTAGATAAACCATAAATCTATTCTACGCAATCTATTTGTCTATATAGCTGAGATGTACGATGAACGCTTGTTTTGATTACCCTCTTCAACGGTTTTGCTGTTTTTTTGGTCTTGTCGTATTTTCCCCCACATCACCATTTGGGGTACTTCTATAGGGTGTACCTACTGTATGGGTGGTATTGTTCACTTGATGTGATTGATTCCCATTATACCATTACCCAACACCACCACTACTACTAAGGAGGAAACTCGTACACTAAGCTCCATCTTTCTTTCTTTCATTCTCTCGTGAATCTTCATCTTCTTTCTCCTCTACTCTCCTCTTCCCTTCATCTCCCTCCTTCTCTCTTCTTTGATTTCACCCCTCCCTCTTTCCTCTGATAGCAACTTCTCCGATCATTCCTTCAGGACTGTCAATTATTGTTCACCTTTCGATTCTATCAGATCATTTGTCTGTGTCATTCCCTCTCCGTGGTCAGATACTTCGTGCTTCTGCCTCGTATATTTTGGTCCACTACGAGAAAAGGTTACTTGACCGTATCAATCTTTCGATCAGGGGATGAACGTATCGTCCTCATAACTGAAAGACGCCAACTCAACAGCCTTTGATCTTCAGACTGAGCTGCCCCCCTTTTCATCATCTTTGGACTATTTAGGAGAGACCCCGATCTCTTCCGTA